CTTTACAAATGATCAGCTACAACAGGTCACTGAGTGATTGGTGAGGAGCCATCCAAATGACAATGATCTATACTGTGACTCACACAAATTGTGTCTCGCAAACTTACCTTCATGTGATACTGCTCGGTTAAAATGGCCCTCCACATGGTCCTTTACCTTGTAGTAGTATAGGGGTTTAAACCATGCGGGCTGGCAGAATGGACAGTGGTACATACTGCAACATGTGTTGCATTTTGCAGCTCAGGGACAGATGTCCCTCGTTGTATTGTGACATGCATCTGGAAAATAAAGAGAATGAATTGTGAAATCTACTATGTCAATATAATTCTACAGAAAACTGAGGTCATAATAATAAAACTATGATTTTTTTTTAATTGCTACTGTCAAAAGTATTAGGGAAGTTGGGTCGGGTCGAGCTTCTCTCTCGCCGACTTTTTTTTTGTTCGTTACGAGGCCGTGAATAGTTTTGGCCACGAGAGACCGTGATTGGCCAAAAAAAAAAAACGAAGTGGCCTCATCACAACACGTACTGTACTAAACTCTCTCAATGACAACTCAAAGAACTCCTTCATGTCTCTATGTTCCAACGTCATTGTTCTTTGTCTCGCTGCTTCTCTCTCATCGAGTGCCACCGCGCACGATTCTTCAGGATGTACTGCTGCTGTGGTGAATGGCCCAATTTTCAACCCGTCCAAATGACGGAATGCCTTAAATCTATCCTACAACTCTTAAAATAAAAAATAAAAAAATCCGTCAATGATGGAAAATTGTCGGTGACTGTACCCTCTGCTGAAAACAGAATTACTTGTTTAAAGGATGTAAATAATGATACAGACTTGTTGAACTTAGATTTTGTGGAAAAGACAGGCTTTAATTTGTTGTCACAAATAACCCCTCCTCCTCCCGAGTCATCACAAATGAAATAGGAAATGTCGGGCTTGCTTCGGGCTCGGGCCTGCAAATCAAGTTCATTGATCGCGCTCGGGCCGGGTCGGGCTGGATTTTTTTGGCCCGATCGACAAAATAAATGTCATGACATTTTAATCACTGTCATGACATTTATTTTCCACATGATGGCGCAGTAGTACAAATAAAGCCTCATGATGCTTCGGCCCAGGAACGACCCAGTTGGATGGAAAGCCTCATTGCTTCATGAGGCTTCATTTTCCCATCACTAGCTGTCAGTACCAAAGCTAGAGAAGCGCTATATAAGTAACATACCATAGATAAGTGACAGACCGTTTACCAATTATTATTATTATTATTAATAATAATGCAGTTTTACAAGTAGCAGTAGCACAAACTAGTAGCACTATGATGTTCATCGTGTCTTCTTCTCAAAGTAGGTTTAAAGCAGGGGTGTCAAACTCATTTCACATGGTGGGCCACATACGGCCTGGGTAGATGTCAAGTGGGCCGGACCATTAAAATGATACCATACTTTGCTATAAATAACCAAAACAACATGTCTTTCCTTTGTTTTGGTATAAAGAAGCACAAGAACATTAGGAAAATGTTGAAATTAAATGAACATACCTTTTACAAAACATTTCATGAAGCACCTTACATTTCCTTCGACAAATGTGCAATTTACTTTTATAATTCACATATATGCATTGCAACTGATCCCACTGATTGTACAAACTTTAACAAGTAATTGGTATTGAAAAATATAGTAATGCACTTTAAGATTAAACGAGATTGGAAGCAGAGGGATGGGCAGAGGGATGGGCAGCGATGGGTGGGGCAGCAAAAGGTGAGACAGCGGTGGGTCGTGGGGATGCAGGCGCCTTAGCAGCAGCAGCAGAGACCATAAAAGCAGGGTGCTTTTCTTTACACATGTGAAGGTGATTTATGAAGGGTACCCGGCGCATTATTATTCCACAGCAATAAATACAATGAAAGTGGAGTTTTGGTCGGCATTGTAGCCGACATCTATGAATGGTATACCCTGTAATAGAAAATAGAGCTTAAACGTTTTAAATAATCATTTACAATTATCATAGACAACATCTTTACAAATGATCAGCTACAACAGGTCAATGAGTGATTGATGAGGAGCCATCCAAATGAAAATAATCTATACTGTGACTCACACAAATTGTGTCTCGCAAACTTACCTTCATGTGATACTGCTCGGTTAAAATGGCCCTCCACATGGTCCTTTACCTTGTAGTAGTATAGGGGTTTAAACCATGCGGGCTGGCAGAATGGACAGTGGTACATACTGCAACATGTGTTGCATTTTGCAGCTCAGGGACAGATGTCCCTCGTTGTATTGTGACATGCATCTGGAAAATAAAGAGAATGAATTGTGAAATCTACTATGTCAATATAATTCCACAGAAAACTGAGGTCATAATAATAAAACTTTTTTTTTTTTTAATTGCTACTGTCAAAAGTATTAGGGATCTCATACGACGTTGGGTGTTTTTCCCAGTGCTTTTTAAAATCACAAAGAAACGAGGAGGAAATTAATATAGAGGTACAGGGAATATAATTTTACGTAAAATTCTGCATTAGCACAGATGCATTTAAATCTAATATTTTAAACTGATCAACATGACACAATGCGCAGTCAATTTTTAATTGAATGGACATATTTTGCGCATTTAGCACTTCTTTGACGTAGCCTAAAGCCCTTTAAAAATGACCAGTATTTACCCATTCACAAACATACATATATTCATCCGAAATTAAATTATTAATGTCAACGTCGTTTTGACATTATCATCTAATTAATGAACAACTAGGCGTGCTAAAACATTTCATCCTCACTTGCGCTATATATTCTATCGTCGAGAGAATGTGAGTGGAGCCGGGATTCAAGTTGGCATAAAGTTTTCATTGACGCTCGTCGACTGAATATTACAGTCGCAGTTGTTGTCGTGCATTAAAATAACACAACTCCGTTTTACTTTTAGTTGATTTTGCTGTTAAATTATCTTACAATTACAGGGCCTTTTAAACTTTTTAAGATCCACATGCGACTTACTTCGGAATCGGGCATCATCCTTCTGACGTCATATCCGGCGCAACATTACTTGCCTAAACCTACCTTTCCCTGAGTCGGCCTTCTCCGGGTCTGCAGCTGGACACTTCTCCCTGATTCTAATGATCAGATCATCAGCAAGCTCTGCAGAACCCTGATATTGAACCTGTTCATTCGAATCAGGTGTGTTGCAACAGGGAGAGATGGAAAACATGCAGGATTGCGGCCCTCTAGGCCTGGAATTGCCCACCGCTGATTTAGAGTAGTCAATTGCGATTCACTTACTGAGCAAGTGTTGGGAATGGGGGAGGAAGCTGGGGTGACTGGAGAATACACACAGAAAGAACACTCCACACAAGGTCACAGCCTGGTTTTGAACCCACAAACTCAGAAGTGTGAGGCGGATGTGCCATTATAATTATTATGACTATTTTTATTACTGGGGGCGGCATGGATCAGTGGTAGAATTTTCGTCTACCAAACCAGAGGTTGGGATTTCAATCCCTGGCCATTGCAAACTCGTTATAGTGTCCTTAAGCAAGATACTGGACCCCTAGTTGCTCCTGATGCTGCATCATCAGTAGGTATATGCGGAAACAGTGTAAAGTGCTGTCAGTTGGGATGTGCCCGACTGTGCCGAGGCTCCGATGCGTGTGGACATACCATAGATAAGTGACAGACCATTTACCAATTATTATTATTATTATTAATAATGCAGTTTTACAAGTAGCAGTAGCACAAACTAGTAACACTATGATGTTCATCGTGTCTTTTTCTCAAAGTAGGTTTAAAACATCTTTTTTTTTGAGAGAGAAATTTTGTCTGAAAATAAGATCTGGTTTAAAGCATCTTTTTTTTGAGAGAGAAATTTTGTCTGAAAATAAGAAACTTAAAACCTTGTACTAGTAGTAACATAACTAGCTCCCTCAGGATGTAGCATGAAGCACGACACGGTGTCCATAAAATTACAGGGTTTATTTCCTGGCAACCTGGGGGAAGAACTGCTCCCACAAACATGAAACATACAAATACAAATAGCATTACAAAACAAATAAATAAAAAACATAACCCACGAAGACAATTGATTAAACAAAGGCTCACAACAAACCTCGTGGGCTCACATCCACAAAAGGCTAAACATTCTCAGAAACCCTGCCTGTGGCCCTTTTCTGTCGTCCAGTTTGCAACCAAATATGCTCTCAACATCATCGTCTTACTTTAGCCCCGCGGAGGTTACAACTATGCTCTCAACATCATCATCGTCTTACTTTAGCCCCGCGGAGGTTACAAAGCCGTCGTCTGAGTGTGCGGTGGCGAGTGCGCACGTTAACTAGTGTCGGGCGGAACCCTTCAACACTACAATTGGTGCCGGCTTAAAACCACCACCAGGTGGCATAGGAACACCAATAGGGAACAGTTTACCCGGAATATAAAGACTGTAACAACTATAAGGGCAGGGGTAAACATTTTTCAAAATTGCTGAAAGTAAAAAAAAAAAGTATGATATTTAAGAAATGTCGTGCAATTAAAATGTGTAATTTTTACAATTTCATTTTATTTTAAGTGTACAGTTTGGTTTGCTAAATAATTTCATACTCCAGTCACAGATTAAAATAAAAACTCACATGTCCCGTATCTATGTGTGTGTGAGTAAAACTAAGTAGTTTCCACTGGAGCAATTGGCCTTTGGTTCAGATTATGCTCTCTGTGCTTCTGGCGCTTAATCACATAAAATCGCCCAACACAAATAACCGCAACCACAGCCAAAGCAACTAAAATCCACAGCCAAATAAACGTGCCCGCGGAAAGAGAGGAACCTTTCATGGTGTCATTGTCAGGTTTTGCGTAACCTCTGACAGAGGGAGTGGTGATAACAAAATGTTCCTCGGCTGCTTTTACACATTTCACCTGATGTCTGAGTACATAGCCTGTTTTACAGGCACAGACAAAACTTCCAAATGTGTTTTTACACTCTTGTTCACATTCGTTCATGAGGCACTCATTAATGTCTTCGCAGAATTTGTCATTGATGATGAAGCCATCAGCGCAGAAGCAAGCGCTGTCAGTGTTTTGCTCACAGATGGCGGGGCATCTCTCCTGCGCACAGTGGATTTTACACCTCCTGGGATCCGTGCTGTCCGGTGCATATCCACGGAAACAAGAGCATTTGAAGCCATCTTTGACAGGAGTGCAGTTTTGTTCACACGGACCATCTGAGCAGCCCTTTGAACTCGGAAAAAATGTTGCATCTGATAATTTTTGCGTCTGGCAAGCATCTCTGTGGGAGGTTCTGCACAGGAATCCGTCGATTTTATCAGAGCATTCCCGCTCTTTGAGCTTTTGCTCTTTTGAAAGTGAGACACAGCTAGGTGAACAGACACTTACTCCATCTTTCCAGGTGATGTGAGAGGGAACAAAGTTGCTGCGCCCTTTACCAGCGGTCCATTCATAGCCTCTCATATGAAGTGAGAGGTTGGTGCAGGCATCTGGCGGTAAATAAAGTCCAAGCCAGAAGTTTCCATCTAGTTCTTGCGTCACGATATCAAGTAATCTCTTATCTTCTGCTGACTGAAGTGTCATGAGCCCTCCTTTCCTGGCTTGACATCTTTCTTCGGCTGTTGTAAAATCCACTTTGTCTCGGTTGATAACCAAGCAGTTACTCCCAATACAGAAAGGCCAGCAAGTGCCAGCGTGCAGCATACAAAAGCATCTGCTGATAGAGGACAGAGAGATAAGAGACACTGTCACAAGGACCTGGAGATTCAAGCAGGCCATGTCGCTGCGCTGTAGTTCATCTTCAAATGTTGACTGGCTCACGGCAAACTCAGAGCTCTGCAGGCTACTGCGGAAGGAAAGCAAAGGCAGGAAGGAAATGAGATAAAGACTGTGTTTTTCCAATGTGAAGCACTGGGACCATGACACATTTACGTTCAGAACAAAATAAACTGTTCTTGTCTTGAGACGAATCGGACATACCGTACTACGAACACCCTCACTACTCCCTACTCCCAGCAATTGTAATATTAATATCAACTACAGTAATCATAAAGGTGTGGCCTTTACTAGCCTACTCCGGCTTCCTTTCACATTCCAAAAATGTGCTTGCTTGTTTAAACACGCTAGAAGGGTTCGTGTGAATGTGAGGTTCTTTGTTTATATGTGACCTGTGATTGGCTGGCAGCCAGTCCAGGATGTACCGCGCCTCTTGCCAGACTAGTCAACTGGGATGGGTTCCAGCACAACCAGCACCCTACTGAGGACAAGTAGCATTGAAAATAGATGGACGTCTCTTGTTATTATCATAGGGCAGCTCATTAAATTATGGATGCCATAATATCGTGCAGCGTGTGTGGTTGTGTGTGTGTGGTTGTGTGTGTGTGTGTGTGTGTGTGCGTGCGTGCGTGCGTGCGTGCGTGCGTGTGTGTGTGTGTGTGTGTGTGAGACAACAACGAGAATAAAAAGTAAGAGACAAAAGGGGTGCGTTGGTGGTGTTTTTACAATTGAAAGAAAAATGACACGAACATAAATTACATAAATACATTTTGAGATAAATTACATGGTCCACGCGAGGAAGACGATCCTCTCCATCAGGTCATAGGTCATCAGTCAAGATGGATTCATAGAGTTTTTCTAAACGTGGATCGAAGCCAGAGGAAACCCAACAATAACCGTCTGTTGTACTTTTCTTTGCTTCCTGTCTCGATCGACGACATCGCACAATGGCAATTGTTAATGTCGCAGTGATGATGAGCAGCAAAGGAATCACTGAGCCGAGTACGCAGATGAGCACTCTGGAGTTGACCAGCATGGCAGTTGCAAACAGGGATGCATTGCTTGGGGGCATGGACACCGTGGCACCAGGCATATCCGTGGGAGTGGGCGCCCCCGGGGGGTCGACTGTCGTCATGGATACAAACTCATCAAGGTTTCCGTGTGTTTTCTGGCCCACTGATTCATTTAATGTCACCTTCGTCACATGCGGCGTGCAATTCCTTCCAGTGTCATCCAAACGAAAGCCGCCGGGGCATATGCAGACGAAACTTCCTTCAGTATTGACACATTTAAAGTGACAGCGCTCAGTAGCGCATTCATCCATGTCCACGCATGCATAGCCGTTCTCTGATAAAGTAAAGCCTTCTTTACAGTAGCAAAAGAAAGATCCAGCAGTGTTGAAGCAGCCGTGTGTACATTGGGAATGCACGCATTCGTCCAGATCATGACAGTAACCATCGATCATTTCGAAGCCATCCTGACATGCGCACGCGTAACTGCCTGGTGTGTTAATACACGCGTGAACGTTGCATAAATCTGACTGTTGGCATTCATCAATGTCAGAACAGTTGCGCTGGTTTGCTGCCAATGTGAACCCGATGGGACACGTACAACTTGCTCCCCGCTCTTCCATGACGCATTCGTACTCACAGGTATCCACGCTGCACGCGTCTTGTATCTTACATGAGAGTCCATTGTCCTCAAGAGCGTAACCTTGCTTACAGAGGCATTTAACCCGATCGGAGTCCTGCTGGCACATGTGTTCGCATCCACCGTTGTCGCGCGCACAGTTTCCTTGTTCTGTTCGGCAAAATGGACCCGGTACAGTCCACTGATATTTGTCATCTCTCTGGATGCACACAGAAATGTGGGGCCGCTTTTCACTGCATTTGACTTCGGCATACGTTCCAAGTGGCAAGGATTTCATCACGTTTCGGAATGGCTGCTCAGAGAAAGCAGGCGTGTAGGATATGTGCCCGGAGCCCAACAGTTCCAGAGCATTGCACATTCCTTTAAAGTAAAACTTACACACAGAAAATGAAGGACCTTTGCAAGCTCCAGCAGTCCATTTCAGCTGATTGTCATCGGGGGAATTATAATTAACCCACACACATCGCTCAGTGCAGGTGTCCACGGGCTCTTTTTTCCAGTTGGAGTAGTGGGAATCTTCGTCCCCAGACACCCACTTGAAGCCCCTGAGGGGCTTGTCAGCCAACACACAGTTCCCTTTGTGCAGCTTTAATCCAATCCAAAATTGTTTGCCCTTGTCCTTCTGGATCAGCGAGAGGAGAGAGTGCAGAATCTCTTCTTCTTCTTTGTCTCTCACTGTCATCAGGTAGCCTCCATTGTGGAAGCAGCTCTGACTGGCCTTGTCAAAGCTCACCTTCTCCATATGGACAGTGAAGCAGGCATTGGACGTGCACATGGTTTCATGTTCAACGCCACAAAATCGTCCGAAATTGGTGATGAGAAGCAGGAGAAGAAAGATCAGTGGCATCGTTGCGCTTCACAATAATTTCACGGATACCCTTTGAGAGTTTTCTCACGAAATGGGAGCAACATGAGGTTGCCTGTTTGTGGCAAAGTGGTGTGGCTCTGAAAGTAACCGTCATGCCGCTCGCTGTATCCTGTTTGGGACAACTAAAGGCGGAAAGAATGTTTTGCTAGCGTTAAGGGCTTTTTCTTTCTCCTCTGCTAAGCAGTTCCGTTTTGAGCTGGGAAAACAATGGCGTACTCCATTGTGTTTTGACTGGTTCTCCAGATGTCTCCGGCCCCTGTCGACTTGAGGCTTTTAAGCCGACTCCCTTAGCTGTGGTGAGTTACAATACACGAGGCACACAGGGGTCATATGACCTCAGAGATGCTGCGCCATGGCAATTCGAAAGTAGGGATGGGTGTAAGAGTAGCAGGGGAAAACTCTGACCATTGAATTCAGTAGAGATACCACTCGAGGATAATTGTGACGAATTAACAAAATATTCTCTTTCACTGAGTTTCTTGTTGACACTGGGTCTTGGTGGTCTGAACGCTGAATCAAGTTCCTGTGTTTGTTTAAACGCAGCGAACGGCCAACAACAATGGCAGGAATTCTAGTGAAACCACCAAAGCCGGCTCAGTGAAAAGAGAAACATTGCTCATGCATTGCCCTTTGCGGATATTCCGCATAATGTTCTGTCATCATTTTTTAAAGATTTATTTTTTTTAATTGTGCTCTTATTCACCCTAATCACAACATGAAGACCCAAATGACAAAAACGGAGTGCTGTCATTTGCTGGCAGGGGTGACATGTCATACAGCAGCTTTTCCCCTTGTGTGAATGTGTCTGGCAAGTGTCTAAATAACATTACATCACATGGATTGTGGAAGTGTCTCTTGATAGAATTAATGTACATAAGGTTATCCCATATTTACTCTTATATTACTACAAAACATTTATTCAGCAGTATGGCCTCTCAAAGGTTTCACTGAGAGAGAGAGAGAGAGAGAGAGAGAGAGAGAGAAACAATGTTTAAGGGGGGGCCAGACGGTTCCCAAGCTCGGATGAGATAAACCATCAAGGAGTGGAACTTGTTAGGCTGCACAGCTGTGTAAAAGAACTCGAGCCCTTCCAAGCATACATGAGTCCTCCATTAAGCGCCTCCAGCTGGTCCAGAATGCCGCTGCTCGCCTCTTGACTGGTACTCGTAAGAGGGAGCACATAACTCCTACTCTGGCATCCTATCACTGGCTCCCTATACATTTTAGAGTTATTTTTAAGATCCTATTATTTGTTTTCAAATCTCTAAATGACCTCGCGTCACCTTACCTCTCTGAGCTCATCCGCCCCTACACACCTGCCCGGCGCCTCAGGTCTGCGGACCAGACATGATTAGAAGTACCAAGAACTAAACGGAGGCTCAGAGGGGATCGAGCCTTTTCCGTTGCTGCTCCCTTTCTCTGGAATGACCTCCCACTGAACATTCGGCAAGCCTCCTCGCTGCCCATCTTTAAAACCCGCATTAAAACTCACTTGTATTCTTTGGCATTTGACTCATCATGACCCAAATTATGATCTTAGTTATACTGTTTGGTGCTCTCTACCGATTTGTTACTGATTTGTTGCTTTGCTTGTTAGTTGCTCCATGTACAGCACTTTGTGTGCAGCGATGGCTGTTTGAAAGTGCTCTATAAATACATTTGAGTTGAGTTGAGTTGATGAGTGCATCTTTATGGTATTCTTTGGATTGAAGACTTCACCAACACTCTCAGACTGAAATCAGATAACTCACAGGTGACGGAGTCCGGTCCTCAAGGGCCGGTTTCCTGCATGTTTTCCCTCCCTCCCTGCTGCAACACACCTGATTCAAATGAACAGGTTCAATGTCAGGCTTCCACAGAGCTTGCTGATGATCTGATCATTTGAATCAGGTGTGTTGAAACAGGGAGACTTGGAAAACATGCAGGACAGCGGCCCTCCAGGATCTGAGTTTGACACCCCTGAAACTGTTAGGGTGGTTCTGTTTGAGACCAACAGGTGGCACTTTAGGGCTCTTCCTGCAGTGGCACACCTGTTAGTCATTGTGTCATTAGTTAGTGTTTCTGTTAATAGGACTCCCTGCCCGACCTGTCGAGGTTGGGTCATTGTGTTGGTCACTGTGTTTGCCTTTGTTTCCGCCTAAGTTTGTATTTTTTGTTAAATACATTTTGTTCAGTCCACCCTGCTTCTCCCCACCTCCCTGCTTTTTGGGGTCCTCCAACTACCACCACGCAAAACCTAACAATAGCAACCTCTGGGGAATGGAAATGGCTACCTTGAGACGGCGCGCTCAGGACGAGCTTGCACAAATTAGCTCATGAACTCCTCTAACCACAGGAGTGCATTGTTTCTGACCAGACATCTTTCTGTGGACTTCATCAATGGTTCTGACGTATGTGTGTGCTTCCCCTTCCCTTTAGAAGCTCGTGTATTAGGGACCTCTTTTTTCAATAAATTGAGGACTTGGCAGGTTGTATCTCAGAGTGGGTCAGAGATTGCAACCGGGTACAACCTGTCCGTTCTCTTGTCTTCCTTCCGTGTTTGTTTATTAAATGTTGGAGGGCGCCTAAACCTAACATCTCTCTGAAGTGTCTATTTGAGAAAGCTTTCTTTTTTACAAATGCTTGTGCATGGGCGTAGCAACATTTGCTGATGTCCATTGATCGCTCAACAGAGATTTTTGATTTCCACCTAACAATGGCAGAGGAATATGCAACTGCTTCACATTGGCATTCTCTATTACGATGCCCATTCGTTCTTCGTTCTCATAAATATTTCAGAGCAGACCCCCGCTCCCTGTGTATGCTTCCGCAAATCGATGCACCTTTTTGAACGGCCAACGGAGACAAACAAAAGCTCTCTGGCAAAGTTTCATCTTTTCAAGCTTGCATTGCTTCTCAGCTTTAAGACCATACAACATCGACTGATTTATGTCTTGTGTTATTTATCAGACACCTCTGGCTTTGTGTGCTATGGGGATAGAGGTTCTGTTTGGATGGATGAAGAAAATATATTCAAGCCACATGACTTCAAGTATATGCATGGAAGGAAAGCATACAATACTGTATGTTTTTAAAAAAGGTGGTTGCGCAGTCAGTATATGAAAATCTTTTTTTTTTTTTTTTTTAATGACATGATGAGCAAGCAAATTTATGTATGAAAAGTGGTGGGGTGGGTGAGGAGGGCAACTACGCTGACTGAAGCAACTCAAGTGAACAACATCAATTGAGCAAGTGATCAGAATCCATAAATATGAGCCAAATCACCACTGTTGAATTTTATTTGTAAGATTATTGCTTGGTCCTAGTTTGTTATTGGAGCATCAAATACTGTGTATTTTATAAACATGACTGAAAGGTTTTTAAAAAAAATACTCCTGTAAACTGAACTGCTTTCAGAACAAGGAAAGTTTTGGACGATGGCTTATCGGAACATGATAACATTAGTAGCTAGAATACAAGTTCAATTTGTAGGTAATGAAAGCCTAGTCAGCAGGATCACTATTATGCAATCAAGTTCAGGCTGATGAAATGAGTTGCAGTCACCCTGATACAGTATGAATTATTTGCCTTAAAGAAGACATGATACAGTATATGCTTGCTTCTCTTCGGCATAACCAGAAAGGTGATGTTTGTTTAATCCGGGTAAAATATTTGACAATCTGTTTTTTGTGGACATTTTTTTTTTTTTTTTTTTTTTGAGGGGCTGGGGACTCAATTGCAGATACGCAGTATGCTCTAAATCTTAAATCATGCTGTCCCTTATCGTGTAGTCTCAATGACATAAACCCGGTTTGCATTTTCATGAGTGTGAGCTTTGGACTAACTTTGTTTGCATTTTGTCATTGCATCACAGCCTGTCTCGTTAAAAAAAAAAATAAAATAAAATAGAGAAACACCCAACCACCTACATCATGTCTTTCAAATTCTGGGAATAACATGAAAATGACAAAAGAAAACCCATAAATCATGTCAAGGAATAAAAAGCAATGATTCATTTGTTAAACTAATGCGTGACCTGGGATGTGCAATCGTGTACTTTTATAAGAAAGACGGGGGCTTCAAGGAATTTTGGAATTGATCTTCATGCAAACATAACAGTAGACATGAGAAATACAGTATGAATGCTGGCTGTTGTATTTCACCCTGAGTTTAGAGGTTGTTAAAATATTGTCAATGATATCTGCTGTGGATACATATTAAGTTTCATACCCAGTTTTTGATTATGGTGCCATAAATCTTCAACTTGGTTTTGTGTGTTTATGATGTCTGACCTCATACCGACCTGAATCATTCAGTCACAATCAATTGTTGATTTAATGGTAAGCGGAAGGGCATTGGAAGAGAAGCCTCAAGATTTAGCTCCTATATCCTTTTTCTTTATCCTGTTCGATTCCTTCAGACATCATACACATGCTGGTGGCATGAATACTGCATAGAGTCAAACTCAATACTGTTTCTAAATACATATATATGTGCAAGTACCCACGCTAGCTTGGGCTGTTCTATTGACATGAATTCATCGACTTTACCAGGTCACTCGGTAATACTGTAACTGAAGCAGTCGTAAAAGTACCACAGGTAATTGTGGGAGGTGTTCAGAGATCATTTGCATACACAGCAACAGTCCACCTTGCCAGTCAGGTGGCCACTGCAAGGACATACAAAGATCTTTATGATTATCTGACCTTCTCTGCTCTTTGGTCGCTCTCTATCGGGACAAGTTATCTGTCAAACTGAGGTAAGGAAAATACAAATTCTACGGGAGAAAAGTTAGTGCAGTGATTTATGAGTGACTCATAGAACAAGTGGCCATATAAATTCGGCACAAAACAAACCGCATTGGAAAAACTTTTAGATTATCTCATGTGCAAGAACGTCGTATTTCTGATGAGACATTTGAAAAAGTATAAAAACATGCATGGCAGGCTGATTGAACACTCCAAATTATCCCCAGGTGTGAGTGTGAGCGCGGATGGTTGTTCGTTTCTGTGTGCCCTGCGATTGGCTGGCAACCAGTTCAGGGTGTCCCCCGCCTACTGCCCGAAGACAGCTGGGATAGGCTCCAGCACCCCCCGCGACCCTCGTGAGGATAAAGCGGTTCGGAAAATGGATGGATGGATGGATGAAAAATTGAGGACATTATTGCATTTGCAATATTATTTTTCATTGTTCAACGAAAGTAATCGATTCAGGTACGGTACTAATGTTTGCAAATAAATCAAAGTCACAAATCAAATTATTGATTATTATTGATTATTGATTAGTTATTAGTGGACACGCATGTCCACTTATAACTATTGCTGGTTATTTATTACAAACTGCACAAAAAAAAGAGAAAAAAAGTATGCTTGTATATGTATATATATATATACTGGTGTATATATATATATATAGATATATACTGGTGTATATATATATATATATATAGAAAGAGAGAGAGAGAGCGAGAGAGAGAGAGAGAGAGACAGAGAGAGAGAGAGAGAGAGAGAGAGAGAGAGAGAGAGAGAGAGAGAGAGAGAGATAGATGAATCCCCCTACGACTACTGAATGTAATGGATGTTTTCTGTCTCTTTGCAACTCAATTAGTGTAACAGTCACTTCAGTGTTGCCTGCAAAATTTTGCCAATGACACACTTATTCTGTATGTCCTACTGCAGATATTCGGCACAACAACAATGCCTCCTCCAGGTGTATGCCTCAACATCATGGAGGCTCGTCACAAGCAAGTTGGTCATGGGAGTTTTGACAAGAGTTTCTTTAGCCAAGACTTCCAAAAGCTTAAACAGTACTGTTTAGTCCAAAGAGTAAGATACATCGATGAGAAGTTCCCCCCTGATAGGAGCGCCATTGGCATGGATTTACTTGGTGCTTCCGACTTGGACCGAGTGGTGTGGCTGAGACCAGCGGTGAGTGATATCAAAGTACAGTTGACCATATAAAGTGACGCAACGTAACCCTAACCAAAATTTTGTTTTGCTTCAGCTCAGCGAGCAAAATACAGGGGTTCTTTCTTGGCACCTCAGAGTAATATGATAAAATAAATTGGCAACACAGGTGTTGGATGTGTTTTAATCTGAGATGGAAGTCAACTTTTCTCGATATTTTTTTGCACCGTTTCCAAATCTGCCATTCTTTTTTTTTCTAGCACATCAGGTTTTCATAATACACCGGTACTAATAATATAATGACAATAACATAAGATGTAATTTAGGAATATATTCAGTCGTATTTATGAATTGAAGGTGACGTTCAGCAACCGGTGGAATTTTTTTTCTGAAACGTCATAGCTCTAAATTACACACATTGCAAAATCCGTATTGCGTAAGCTTTTGTCGGTCAAACTTCAAAAGAAAAAAGGATCTATCTCAAAACCTGGTGTGCGAGAAAAAAAAGTAGACATTTTTTTAATCAGCCTCAAATATGCATAATGACACATAAAGCCATCCTGGATTAAAATTTGCTGTTCACCAGTGTGATAGGAAGAACGTGTACCGAATGTGTCGTGACTCACCTCTCACAAATGCTCTCGACATTTGTCACGTGTCATCAAAGATAAGGGACTTGACTTGATTGTTTACTTTTTAATACGAACAGCAGTTAACATTTTTACTAAAGAAATGTATATTGACAATATTTAAACATATTCATCAAAAACTTTTAACTCATTTAAAAGCAAAGAAAATAAATTAGGTCTCTAAAATTGAGGAGGGGGCTGGAGGGGTGAAAAAAAATATTTAAAAAAGACCTTTATCAAAGGTAGGGGTAAAAAGCAAAGTTTTTCACCTGGATTTAAAAGCATTTACACTCAGGGTTGACTTCTGTTGGCAGATTATTCCTTTTTGATGTGATGAATCCAATCTTCAATCTTTGTTGCTTCAGACCAGAGAATTTTGTCTCTAATCTTTCTGGTGATTTCCCATTAGCCTGGTTCCAAACTGGAAATTGGAATACCTTCAATTCAATGCTTAACGTGCATTTTCATCTAACGTTTCATGTGTTTCAGAAAATTTCTCTTCATCCATCCTTCATACAAAGTGGGGTATCCAGATTTGATTTTGGCCAAGGAGTGCTTGGTAGGAGAATCTTCTCATTTATATTACTACTGTGCCTCACTGACTTTTTAATGACAAACCTCACTTGTTTACCTTCAGGAAACTGTTGGTTTCTGGCATCGATCGGGGCTCTGACATTCCAGAATGACATCCTCAAAAAAGTCGTTCCCCTTGACCAAACCTTCGATGAGGACTACTGTGGGTTGTTCCACTTCAGGGTGAATGCAGATTGTTGTATACTTGATGATTAATGTCACGGATGGCACGGTGAGCAACTGGTTAGCCCGTCGACCTCACAGTGCAGAGGTGCAGGGTTCGGTTCCAGCTCTGGCCTTCCTGTATGTAGTCTGCATGTTCTCCCTGTGCCAGCTTGGGTTTTCTCCGGGTACTCCGGTTTCCTCCCACATTCCAAAAACATGTGTGTCAGGTTAATGGACACTATAAATTGTCCCTAGGTGTGATTGGGAGTGTGAATGCATTTATATGTGCCCTGCGATTTGCTTGGCAACCGGTTCAGGTTGTCCCCGGCTGACTGCTCGAACACAGCTGGGATAGGCTCCAGCACACCTGCGACTACCTTGTGAGGATAAGCGGATCAGAAAATGGATGAAACATGACTGAGGTTCAGGCTTTGGTGAAATGATTGTATATGACAAAAACATATTGTTTCCCCATAAAGTTCACTAATCACGCTTGAAGAGCTGCAATTACTACATAACTTCACAGTAAAAGGTAAAAATGACATCTTATTTGATATTGTTTTGTACTTGTTATCTACATTGACATCCATTGATAGTGATCAAATTTTCTTTCATGTGCAATGGATTAAAAAAAAAAAAAAAACATTGAGCGTGTGGGCGGCCTGGTGGCTCAGTGGTTAGAGGTGGTACAGAGGTACCGGGTTCAAATCCAGCTCTGGCCTCCCTGTGTGGAATTTGCATGTTCTCCCCGGGCCTGCATGGGTTTTCTCCGGGTACTCCGGTTTCCTCCCACATTCCAAAAACATGCATGGCAGGCTGATTGTACACTCTAAATTGTCCCTAGATGTGAGTGTGAGCGCGGATGGTTGTTCGTATCTGTGTGTCCTGCGATTGGCTGGCAACCGGTTCAGAGATGACTGCAATAGGCTCCAGCACCCGCAGCGACCCTTGTGAGGATAAGCGGATAAGAAAATGGATGGATTAATGGATGGATGGATGAGCGTGCGATTAAATTGTAGTCTTTGAGCTTTAATTGAAGAAGGTTGGCAGAAATGTTTTACCATCCATTTAGGATACAATTCCAATTGCCAATAACTGAAAATTCCATACAGTGTTTTAACTTACATTTGACATCCAACAGTACTTTAAAACACAAGTTATATATTTTCTGTCTTCAAAACTCAGTTCTGGAGATTTGGAAAATGGGTGGATGTTGTCATCGACGACAAGCTACCAACCATCGATGGCAGACTCATCTTCGTTCATTCCAAAAACCAAAATGAGTTCTGGCCTGCTTTGTTGGAAAAAGCCTATGCCAAGTACAAGACAATTTAATTGTTCCTTTGATAACAACATATCAGCATGAGTGTTATTCGAGTGTATCTGTTTAATATTTGACCCACTCTGTCAGGGTATGTGGTTCTTATGCAGACATGAGAGCTGGAACTCCTTCCGAAGCTATGATGGACTTCACGGGTGGGGTTCATATGAGTATCCAGTTGTCACAACCTCCGTCTAACCTGTGGGAGCTGATGTGCAGAGCTGGAAATGCCCAAACTCTTATGGGCTGTGGTTCACAGCAAGGGGTAAGCATTGAACATCATACATATAAGAGCAACACACTGTCGTATCGATATTGTCATGATTCTTATTAGTGATTTTGAGCAAGGAAGGGCAATTTAAATAAGAACTACTGGGGGGCCCACATAGGTTACACATTTCAGAATAAGATGTATGACAAAAATGCCATTTTAAATATGGATGAAATAGGTGCATATGAGCAAAATACAGTATGTGCTCTTAATATATTTCATTTTTCAAAATACATTTCTCTTTGAGGGCGGCGTGGTGGTCAACTGGTTAGTGCGTCGGCCTCACAGTGTAGAGGTGCAGGGTTCGATTCCGGCTCCAGCCTTCCTGTGTGGAGTTTGCATGTTCTCCGCGTGCCTGGATGGGTTTTCTCTGGGTACTCCGGTTTCTGCCCACATTTCGAAAACATGCATGGCAGGTTAATGGAACACTCTAAATTGTCCCTAGGTGTGAGTGTAAGTTTCTGTGTGCCCTGCGAATGGCTGCCTACCGGTTCAAGGTGTCCTTCGCCTATTGCCCGAAGACAGCTGGGATAAGGCTCCAGCACACCCATGCCATGACCCTTGTGAGGTTAAGCAGATTAGATAATGGATGGATGGATTTCTCAATGCAAGTATAAAAGGTCGAGCCTACAACGAAAAAGGGTTTGAACATTCAAAAAATTACTACATATTGTGATTTTTTTCCCCCTTGTGTGCAAATGGCTACATGCATAAAAATTGCCATTCAAAGACGACACAAAAGTGCTGAACAGCAAACCAACGTTAAGAACTCATTTTGTCCATTGTTTCATTTACTAGGTCGACTCACGTTGTAGTATTCGGCAGTATAAGATCCAGTGCAAGCGCAAATCAGCAACGTGATTGCATGTCGTCGCATTTGGCCCGTGGGTCGCCAGTTGAACATACCACAATAGTTTTTTTTTGTGGTTACACAAAAAGCTTCCACAATTAGTCATTTATCAGTAATTCCCTACCTTCTGTCTATTTCTCAGAATTCGCCAGACAATTCTGTTTCCAAAAATGGATTGGTCCAAGGCCATGCCTACACTGTAACAGGTGTCAAGCAGGTGACAAAGAGATAAATATGCATATTTTATGTCACGGTTTGTGTGTTCTTCATTAACAATTCCACTTTTTTTTCCTGAACAGATGATGAGTTCTGGTAAAATTGTAAAGTTGGTGCGACTGTGGAACCCTTGGGGCAAGGTAGAATGGAATGGGGATTGGAGTGATCGGTAAGAAATATTGACTACATGTTGAGGTCACGACTGCATACCACCCTTCATGTGTGGCGTAATATTGCCATTACCAAAAAATTTGACCACCCTAAAAATAATAAATAATAATAATAAATAAATAGATAGATAGATGAAAGTTAATATTAAAGATTTGCAAGATGGCTAATTTTAGTGACCCAACATCCAAAAACTAGATTTGGGAAGGTGGTGGTGACTAGTCAAATATTGCTTTTTTGTCTCCACTGTGTTTCAAAAAAAAAAGTACTCTAAAATTTACATTGCAAAGTTCCATCAACTCACTTCATATGCATCAAGAGGTGGACCTTACACAACTGCCCCTCAATTTGCGCTGCAACTTTGAAGGTCAAATCAAAGCTACAGAGGAAAGATGGTATGCAGCAGCCGTGCACCAACTCATGGACTTGAAAGGCATTCAAGACGAAGCTGCCTCAATGTTTGAACTCGCAGAAATAAAGAATGGTTAATATTAGATACGTTTCCCAGAAGACAACATGAAGGAGCGATACCGCGAGCTTCATAAATCACGCGCTCCTTGCATATCTCTCGTGCGCTTGTAACATACAAAATTGACCAGGAATTTTACCTGCTGCACATAAACTCAATTTGAACTGCAGCCATTTAAGGCGTGGGTGTGCTTTCATGAACCAGGCCACCTTCTCCTAATCCCCTAATCTGTCTTTGTTTGGTACAAATTACATAGAGCAGCGGTCCCCAACCTGTTTTGCCCCAGGGACCGGTTTAATGTCAGATTCAGATTCAGACAATATTTTCAGGGACCGGCCTTTAATGTGTGATGGATAAATACTGTGGTATTTTCCAAATATCATAATAAACATGAATCATGATGTGAGGAACGTCCTATCTGGCCGCAACACTCGCTGGTCGCTATGGTAAGATTTAAAGGTGCCTTCAAAATAACATACAAAGTGCATGAAAAATACGACTCATCATCGCCGCATATTATGCAGAGTGGGCTTGGTGCGTGGGAATCTCCTGTTGAGATAAATCCATATTTTAAGTAGGACTCCTGATACTGTCTATTAAATGTAGCCTTTTTTTTCTTGACAGTCATAATCTCCTCTTCTGTCTTCTGGCTGGGCCTTTTCCCCTTCCCAAAGACGTTTGTTTTTTACTCATTTTGCCTGGGTTTCACATGACCGAAAAGTGCGCCTTGACCTGCGCCAAGAGTGACAAACTGTAGACGGATGTAACAGAGACTCCAGTAATTAAAAAAAAAAAAAACATCTTTCAGATTCCAAAATGGATAGAACGGAAGTAATGTAAGTTATTGTTTCTGTGTGGCCCGGAACCAAATGACCGACGGACCGGTACCCGTCCGCTGACAGAGTACTCACAAAAACGGCTTTCGGATGAAACTTCAAAAACTTGCTTTTCCTTTCCTAAATGTAAATGCTACATTTTACAACACGTGTTTGATCCATAAATTGACAAATACATTTCCTGGTTCAATTAGAACTCCGATTTGAACAGGTGTATTTGTCATGCTGTTGACATTTGGAGAGCAAGAGACCTAGATGACGGCAAACAATTGATCAGCAATATCTCACCACTGCAAACAGGATGATATCAGACGGAAGTGGCCACTGATCTTTGAGTGGCGCAGATTGTCATCGGCGGGTTGCAAAAGAGATGCAGGGACTGGAAGAGTCAGAGAGAGGCATAGAAGTGGATGCAAACAAATGCTGCTATTCTGTGTGGCAAAACACACTGACACTGAACAGTTGGAGGTACACATTTAAAGTCTGGAAAAGGACAAATTAAGTTCAGTACAATTGTAACTGAGCGATTCTGCAGCCATCACAAACAGTGTAGCAGTTCACTCGCCTGATGTCCGTGATGCTGGAAATGTGTGTCCCCAGTGATCTACTGGAGAGATTGGCTCATGATTTATAACAAAATACATCGCAAGGGTTGTCATTTCTCCTATGGAAAGCTCAATCCTTTTATTTAAAACTAACAGTTGCCTTTGTTTTGCATTGGAATAACAGTAAGTTTTACTTATGTGCAGTATGAAGGTTCAAGGCATCTAATATGCTGACTCTCCCCTTGTTCTCAGGTGTCCTTTGTGGCAAACACTGAGTGATACAGATTGTCAAATGACACTTTCAACACGTGACGATGGAGAGTTTTGGTAAGATCTGATCTCTTCCAATTCCGGTTTAGCCCAAAGGTAGTCATGTGGAGGACCTTTATGAATCTGAATGAGAGTAACGTTATATCAAGGCAACAAACAGCCTTTCAAAGTTTGAGTATTCATATAATAATGTATATCAGTGGTGTCAAACTTATTTTAGTCGCCGGCCAATTTGGTGTTACGTCTTCCCTCAGAGGGCCGTTATGACAGTGAAACCATAAAATTATTACTTGTACACAACAAATAGATTACTAGTTTTGAAATCAGTCAATTATAATAGTTTGTTCAATTATTGTTCAAGTGGGTGTAAACTGGGCAACAAAAATATTTCAGAATCTCAACATTATTTACTACACATCACAATTTGACATTTCGGTACAGATTTTAGCAAGTTGACACACATGATTTAGTTTATGGGCCACATAAAATGACCTGGCGAGCTAGATCTGGCCCCCAGGCCTTAAGTTTGACACCTGTGCTGTATATGACATTTACATCTACTCTTTGAAACTATTGAGGAGCAATTGAGCAATTTTATTTCTATGAAGTCATTTTCACTGCATGTTTTTGTTTCCAAACAAACAGGATGACAATTGAAGATTTTTGTAAATTCTTTGCGGATCTGGATATCTGCTCACCCTATCCTAACTTTCTGGATGGGAGCTCTGTTCACCAGTGGAAGACCTCAACCTATGAAGGCAGATGGGTTGCGGGAACCACTGCTGGAGGTTGCATGAATAATAGAGGTGATGCCAGGATATTTCCACTCCAATCATTTATCCAACAGTGTATCATATCATTTTTATTTCCATCAGTACAAACACTAATGCCTTTTTTTTTAAATGATGACAAGTCTACCTTACTATCATCAGCAAGACACAATTGCACATCACTTCTGAAAAAGCAAGCTGGCATTTTACTTTTGTACGTCCTTTTAGAGAGTTTCTGGACTAACCCCCAATACCGGATCAAGATCACAAATGAGGATTCGCCAAAAACGGGAGAAAATAAAATCGTGGTCTCTCTCATACAAACGGCTGACAAAAGACACAGGCGCTTGGTACAGAATCTTCACATAGGGTTCAACGTATTTGAGGTACCGAGAACAGCTTTTATTGTTTCTATGACACCCCGCAGACTTGCAAAAAATAACAGTAGTTTAATTCATGGTTTAGCAAGGAAGCCTCGGGTTACGTTGAAAAGGATCTTGGTTACTTTACTGATTACTTAATTGGAAAAGTAACTAAGATAGATGACAAATTACTTTTATTAACTACTCTAAGCAGAAGCCGACAACCCCACTTAGCATAAAAATGGCAAGTGGCATTGTCAATACTTATGGGCTATAAAATATAACAAGTGTGCTTTCCCCACGTCACGTGACGATGTGCAGCTCGACAGCCAGCGAAGAAAACTCCGTACACTTTTCTTGCTTATATGAAGTTTCCTTGTCCTTACAGGCAACAAATATAAAAAGGGAAAATCTGGGAATGAGTGAGTTTTGTGATAAAAAGACGAGTCTTCCAAGGTTCAAGCGTTAGGCGTACGCTCGCTGCGTAGATGAGCTATTCTGAACAAACTGAAATGACGAGGCTAACAGAGCAGAAATACGTCAAAGATCTACTATTCAATACAGATGCGCTTACATAACTGAAAGTTGAAACGAACCGCTAAAAATAAAGAGGTCTTACTTTCACATTGTTTTATCCCGAGGTTCTAACAGTTTTACTATGAAACAGTCAATAATATACAAACTTCTATATAATCAAATATGAATGTATTTAAATATTTTGAATTAACACATTCAACTCCGGAAATATCAATGTCTCTTCGCCAGAAGACTTGACAACAAATCTATTTTTAACAGTAAAGTTAAAAAATAATAAGATTTTCTCCAAATAAACTCAAGGCTGCCTTATTGTCTTTAAATACATAATTTATATATATATATATATATATATATATATATATATATATATATATGTTTACTTCACATAGGGAGCTTGTTTTTATTGCAAGAAATACAATGAAATATTTACAGTCTTATAGTATGCGTTTTAACACACCATTCTAATGAACGATAAAATATTGTTTGTTTGTTGTTGTCAACGTGAACGGATTTCTGCCCTTCCCTACAAGCTGACTGAACAAGTAAGTATTGAATTCTTGTCATAAATATACACGATTGTAAACATTCCCCAACATTGTGCGCTTCATGGAGTACTACATTTACTATTTTTCAGTACAAGACACACAGGGGAAAGTTCCCCGCTGCATTCTTCAGTAGTCAAGCACCTGTTGCCCAAACTAAAATGCACTTGAATGGACGCGAGGTCATGGAGTTCATCTTGCTGAAACCTGGCGAATACATCATCGTACCTTCTACCTTCGATGCCAACGAGACTGCCTCCTTCATCCTGACCATCCACTCCAAAGTGGAGATCCTTGGCTAGTATGCACACACACTCGCCTGTTGCTTGCTTGACTGTTTTGCATTCATGGGAGTGCACACATTTGAAAGAATAAACTCAATTAAATAAACATACACATATACAGTATACACATACATGTGTGACGGGCGCCACTATGGATTGTGGCGGTCTGCAGCTCTACGTCGCTGTCGCTTGAAGAACACAAGACACTTTGATGGATTTTGGCTTTTCTTTTAATGCAACTGCAACACAGTATGGCGGGAGCGTTGGTGAGGCCGCATTGGGTCTCAGACATTACAATGCGACTTCCTCGTAGCTCTCTAACAAAACATTGTCGAGAATAAAAAAAATATATACGAGTGTGATCATATAGTAACATACCTAGTGAAAGAAAAAAAGAACACATTCACTGTCATTAACAAGATGCCATTAAACCAATCACAAGCAACAGAAACGGCTGCACACCGAACAATAATGGCGGCCGCGACGAACTGCGGGCTCACGCCAGTAACACAAGCGACTACAGTACATGAAAAACGACACGAACAACTATGTACGACAAAACTGAATAGAAACGAACATTGCCTGCAACACAGTATGGCGGGAGCGTTGGTGAAGCCGCATTGGGTCGCTGACATTACTGCACAACAGACAAGCACTTGCTATGAACTCAGCGTGTAAAAACTTTCACTTGACAAAACGTAAATTAAATAACACACAAAGCAATGTGGGGTTAAAACAAATCAGAGAACTAATTGAGAACACCACACAGTAGAAAAAGTAAAAGTGAAATATATTTATAAAATTGTAAATCACTGCGGACCATGAACAGGATTCGACTTCCTCGTAGCTCCCCCTGATGCTACAGCGTGAAGCAGGTGCCATTCTGTGCGCTGTTGCGTGACTTTCGTCATAATTTAATAACCTTTATTCACCACTTCGTTACACATGTTAATAAACTTTATTCACTGTAACTTCTCTGCTCTCTTCACAGTGAAAATTCACAGGAGCACAGGCATGGGCCACATGAAAAGGTAGACCAAGTTTCAGGCTATTCAGTGTTTATCATTCACCAGAATTGAGTGCAGAAAATGCTATTTTGTCAAGTACTGTACTATGTTTTATGTTTGAACAATTCCTTTTCAATTTTCTTCTCCATTTTTCATCCGCAGGTCAAAAAGGTCCAAAATGTACAGGACGATGAACAGAAGAAACTATTCTTTCGACGGTACTCTGATAAGGTATGTACATTAGAAATTGGCACATAAAGTACAGTCATACCTCGCTTTTCGACCATAATCCGTTCCAGAAGGCTGTACGAAAACCGATTTGTTCGAAAACCGAAACCATTCTCTTTTAAAAAAAAAAAATCTTTATTGAACACGTCTGCTTACAATGGAATGCTACACGAGGAAGCGTCACTTCCTCGTCTTCCCAAGGAAGCGTGACTTCCTCGTGTAAGGATGGTGAGAGGAGTCAAGTGGCGCATTCAAGTGCGCTCAGTTTGTTCAAGAACCGAAATTCGGTCGTCATCCAAGGCTTAAAAAACTTGAAATTTTTGGTTGAAAACCGATTTGGTCGAGAACAGAAAGGTTCGAAAACCGAGGTTTGACGGTACAGTGGTACCTCTACTAACAAAATTAATTGGTTCCGGAATAAATTTCTAAACCAGAACATTTTGTAAGTAGAGACACGTTTTCCATGCCCTAATTTGTTCCAAGCCCCCCCAAAATTCAGACATAAATGTTTTTTAAAGCATAAAAATGCATCAAAATATGTAACAAATACATGTTAAAAATTAGATTATTGCACAATAAATAAGAGTTCTGCATAATGTAAAAAACAAAGAGTAAAAATGATGGTAATTTAAATAAATAAACGGCATCCTCATCGTTTTTTGCCCTCTTTAGTTCATGTTCTCTCTACGAAATGTTTTTTTGCTTGGCGTTTTGTAAAGAAGTGAGCAAAGGACGTCTGCTTTTGTCAGCTTTTAACAATCCTTTGAAAATGTCCCAGGCGAACATCAGCATAGTGAGCGATCGCCCGACTGGCGAACATTTTTTCTGGGATTCACATTTACGTAAAACGGAACACCTCATGGACCGAGGGGCGAATGACGAAGACGCTGCATAAACACACTTATATCTATCGACACACAGACACATTCGGTAGAGGTCCCCCTTAGCCAATGGGATGCCAGGATGATGCTCGGGAATAGCCAATGGCAGAATAGCTATAAATATGTTGCGTTCAGGAAACTCTGAGCTGCGAGTAGCAATGCATACTCTATTTTTACCTTTCCTATCTTGAAATTTCTTTCGTAACTAGAGGTAATATTTTCCTGTTGAGGCGTTTCGTAACTTAAAATTTTCGAAAGTAGAGGTACCACTGTACTGAAGCTTAGGCAGTGGCGCTTTTCAGTTCCGCGACAATCACTGAGCTGTGTAATCACTCATGTTATTCAGCAATAAACGTCGGTACCAAAGTCTGTTAGCTGAGAATATCCTCGTCCGACATCGGTTTGTTTTACTGCATAGAAACACAACTGAGGCCAAAGTACAAAATAATAACCGACAACTATTGGATGCAATTTCCTTCATGCGTCTCAAAAGGCTGCACTGCTGCCTGATGAATATGACAACACGAGCTCAAGGGAGACTTTGCCTCGAGACCAAAGTGACATTGAGAGCGACACCGAATGAGAGACTGAGAAAGTTGGGGGAGTAATTATCACGCTGTTTACCGACAATGAATTTTAGTGTGCAGGAAGAAGATAAGGCTTGTGATCAATGACTTTTCTGGGTGGCGACTGTATTTTTCATTAAATCGTTGAATCCTGTGTTATAAGCACTGTTAAAAGTTTACTGTGTACAATTCTTTCTGAAACATTTATTTTGTGCAATGAAACACTTTGCCTTTTTCTTCCCCCCCCAATTTTGCTGCTGTAGACTGCAAATTTCCCCAGTGTGGGACAAATAAAGGTTATCTTATTTTATCTTATTTTATTTATACACAAGTGCAGCCTATATGCATGTATGTTCTACTTGCATACAGAGATGGGCATTTCGTCCTCCATTTTGAGGACGAGTAGTTTTTTTAAAAAGGACGGACTAAGCAAGGGCGGATGTGGGTTTTCCCCCTAATGTCACGGAGGTTTGTGGTGGAGGACCTCAAAAAGCAGGCAGGAGGGAGGAGCAGGGTGAGCTTGACAAATTAATTCATTTGTTCATTATCCGATCCGCTTTCTCCTCACAAGGGTCACAGGGGGCACTGGAGCATATCCCAAGCGTTTTCGGGCAGTAGGCGGGGGACACCCTGAACCGGTTGCTCGCCAATCGCAGAGCTTGACAAATTGTATTAACAAAACACCGAGAAAAGGAAATCCAGAACAGAGTCCTGTAAACAACAAAAATCCAAAGAAACAAACAAAAGGGACAGCGGTCACTACAGTGGACAGCCTATTATGTTATCAGGTTTCAGGTTATCATTATTGGTGCATCAAAGGGTTAATAACTATAACCCTTTACTTTGTATTATTGTCTTTGTATCAGGATAATTTAATTAAAATTAGAAGTATTTCATTAAACCGTGACGTCTTAACCGAGGGACATTTATGGTTACATAGCAATGCCACACTTCTGTGTCCACACAGTGTGCATTTTGTTTCATTGTCTGTCCTCAACGTTTGTGCATTTTTCCGGGTGAATAATGTGGAGGAAAGAAAGGCACCGTTTTCATATATTGACCCACATTAGTAAATCAGCACAGTTTCAGATGTTTGGATGGAACTTTTTCATTCCTGATGGTAATACGGTTGCCGTGGAGTTGTGCGTCGGGGGTATTCCTGCCATGAATTGTGTGGTGGAGAGTTCGCTCAGTGCAATTCTCTCCTCACTTGTCTGCTGAAGTTAAAGGTGATAACGAGGGAGTATTCGTGAATGCGCAAATGAAATTCTCGTTTTACCATCAGTCACAGTTGTATCAACTGATCATTGTGTGATCATCTTGTCCATCGTGTCATATTATGGACAGACATTTGTGTGACTCAGCAGCCAACAGCGAATCCAGAGGGCTTGACTCATTTGTCCAATTCTCTTCATCTTTTTTTGTAGCATGAAGAAGTGGATGCTGAGCAGCTCCAGATCCTTCTAAACGAGAACATCTTCAAAGGTTTGGGCTTTGGAGTCTGGCAGAGGGCCTTTTTCAATTAGCTACACATCGCGCCACAGTTTTGTTGTTTTTAATTCTTACAATATAGGGGATTTGAAATCTGGAGGTTTCAGCATTGATGCTTGTCGCAGTATGGTTGCACTGATGGATGTATCCTATTGGGATGTTCACTGTGTATGTTTGAGGTTATTTACACCTCTCTGGATCGTATGTCCTTGATAAATTTGAATGACAGATTAAAACAATCCTGCTTTCATTCCTTAATATGAAGACATACAAAGACATCGATCACTGGAAGGCTGAACAGTCAGGAATTTGTTCGCCTGTGGAAGAAAGTGGTCACATACAAGGTAAACTGATCTGATTCCTCCTTTCATGCAGTCACATGGAAACAGACTACATGAGATGTGTCAGAAAAGCTCCAGGACTTGCAGGGCGGGCCCAGCCAATGAGCCATTTTTCAATTCATGTATCAAAGTTCCACAATCGTAATGAACCTACCAAAGAGTTTGAACCAAACAATCAAAATACTGTAACCATATACTGTTTTTTTTTTCCAAGTGCAAAGGCTCTCTTGTATTAAAAAAAAAACAAAAAAATCAAGGATGGCACAAAGGTGCTGAACAAGAAGCCATCATTAAGAGAAAAAACTCATTTTGTAGATTTTTTCATAAAAATCAACTCACTCAAAATTTCAATATTATTGAGGTACAGTACTATATTTGTCTTGCATATCATTTCAAAACAGGAAAAAATTATGAGGCCTACTGACGTAGTACAGGGCAGTGTAAGACCCAGTATAAACACAACGTAGACATGTCTGCCATCTAGTGGTGATATTACAACTTAAAATTTGATTCAACCTCTTTTTCACAGTGGACACCCGCGGATTCGCATATTGGTTTTCTTTCTTTCTTTCTTTTTTCAGATATCTATTGTTTGGATATTTGGTGGGTTTTTTTCCAATAGAAGTGAATCTTTTATCAGGGTATGTGTAGAATTTTGGGGTTATGTAAAATAAATTAAAAAATGAATAAAATAAAAAGGAAAAATGTATATATTCCCTCCTCCCATAAAAATCTTTTTTTTTAAATCAAGGATGTTGGGCCTGGAGCCGCCCGTTACCCATCCGTTCATTAATAACAGGAAAAAACTGCTAGCCTGTCTGGTGTGAATGCTGTCAACAAGTAATAAGTACATTAGGCCAATATAAAGCAGACACCATATTCTATCCCGTTAAGCTCTAAAAAATATTTGAAGACCCCTTTGCGGCCAAGATAGATAAAAATATAAACGTTCATTTACTGATCTGCCATCACCATCAAGTTCGTCAGAGGAAATTCGTTGGTAGGGTGTTTGGGTGTGTCGTCTGGACCTATTTGGAATCTTTTTTTTTTAATATTACAATTATTGGTCTAGCTTTGCATTTGAATCTAATTGGCCTACAGGCAGGGGCGTCACTAGGTTTCAAGAACAAGGGGGGCTTAGCCCCAAGGGGAACACAGCCCCTTTAGGGGGGTCCGGGTGCATGCCCCCCCGGGAGAATTTTTTTCTACATTCTGTAAAAAATCCATCAATTCCGTGCACTTTGAGAGCAAAATGAAGAGGCTATGAAGAACTACACACATCACATTAGTATCCTCTTTACTATGATGGGGCTTCCTCCCCTGGACTTTAACTGGACTAGATAATAGAAATTATAAAGAGTTCAAAAGTTCAATCTTGGTTTCTTCAAGGGAATTAGAAGGATGCCCGATAACATAACCTATATGACAGTAGGCCTATATTCCTCTCTACCAAAATGTATTAATATATGCTTAGCCCCCAGAAGACTTTGTATTTTGAGATGTCTGCCGTGATATGCAATTTAAGTTAGTACAATGAGATGCAAAAGCTTCATCACTTTGGAAAAACACAAGTTTGCTGCTCAATACTTACTGTAAGCTCCGATTGCATTTTGGGAACAGCCTTGCAAGAAAAAAGCTCACTCTCTGTGCGTCTTTAGCCTGATTCCTATCAAATAAATAAATTTATTTATTTTATGATTTTATATTTATTTTATATAGGCCAAAATCTCAATAGGTGTTGCCTCAAAGAGTTGGTGTAATGATTATTTATGTATTTAATAATAAAATGTTGCTTAATTTTTATTAAGCACCACCTTAATTTATCCAAAAGTGAACACTTGTTACAGTGAGTGCAGTTTCTGCTGTTACTGGAGATATTTTAGCGGACTATAGTCACTAGTTTTACCAGCATGGATGCATTGAATACTTAATTTACCTTTCTAAAAAACTGTCGAATATCCATGCTGTCGACTCAACCTGACTTTCGGCAATGAACTGTCAGTTGTTGCGTTAGCATTTGATGTGGCGATGGTGACAGACACGTCAAATGCTAAGGCAACACCTGTTGCGTTCAGGAAACCTGGGAGATTTAACATTACAATAATGGGAGGTTATCGAAATATAATTTAAAATGGCAACATTACATTGAATTTGATGCAATATATTAGCAAAAGTACAGGAAAAATAAACAATACTTTTTTTAAATAATGCAATGAAATTATTTAGGGGGGCTAAAGACATTTTTAGGGAGGCTGAAGCCTCCCTAAAATAGGCCTAATGACGCCCATGCCTATAGGTACTACATACCTGTCAACTTTTCGGAGCGCCAACCTGTATAAACTACCAAAAAAAAATCCTTATAAAGAGCAAAAAATCCTTATAACATACCAAAGCATTTTTATGTCAAAATAACGGCAGAAAAAACCCCACGAAATATGAATGATATATTTGTTTCCTTGTAGAACTTGCTTGTACACTACCGAAGTATGCAATGAATACTCTGCTGTTTTCAACTCGGAACCACGTGATTTACTGGAAAGTTAACGGAAATGAAAGCATTCGAGTAGACTAGCACCATTCTGGGCAAAAGCAAACGGAACTACCTGTTAGGGGGGAAAAAAAAAATGGAAATTTTCAGAATCCGTATGATTTGTGCGATATGGCCATATACGTAAGATTCACCACAAAATCCGTATGAACTATGGCGAAACCGTATGAGTTGACAGGTATGGTACTAGCTTTTCCATTTTAAGAGACACTACAGTATTTACATGACCACTACCACCACCACCCCTCATACCTGTTTTGGCACCCCCCGGAGTCCCTTATCAGCAAATACATCTTTTGTGAAAACAAAAGATGTGTAAATTGAGGGGTTCGTTGTTTTTGGTGGATAGCGCTACTTTAGGAACGGCAAAAGGAGAGACGGAATCCTTTGAATGCGGTTTTATTGAAAGGGGGAAAAAAAGACGTCTGCACCACAGCACGTTCAAGAACACAACTCCTTCCGGCTACTAAAACACTTCATGTTTCCTTCAGCCAATCAGACGCTCCCAAAATAAACATGTTTAATAAATGATAAAGAGAATATAATTTAGGTAACTTTAACATCAAAGACGTTACTGTAATGTTCAAACATAAAAAACGTAATAATTAACAATTTAACAAAAGCTTACAGATGTATTTCAAACCCAACAACAAGTTTGCCACTTCACGGTTGACCATCTCCAAAGACATCCTGCAGCGTTTGCCTTGTTCAGTGCGCAAGAGTTTAGCAAAGCAAATCGTGGCTGCTTCACCATGACAGAATGACTGCTCACAATGCCCTGAGCATCCTTTCCTGGCCGCAAAGGACATTGCCATGGTGGATTAACCTTCCATTTTAGCAACTCCCCCCCAAGGGGGTCATCAAGGCGTCCAGTTTAATGAAGAAGTCATCAAAATGGCTGTGATGACAGAATTGCGGAGAATAATCCATCCAGGAGGGCATAAAGGCTTGGTCGGGAAGTCTGAGCAAGTACATCAGAGTCCAAGTGGCTTTACTTTGACGGGGGACAATTGTAGTTCATAGCTTGGATTTGAAATACTGTACACTCGATTTTTTGCGACGACGCTGCGCTAGTCCTGGAACCTTTCTGACAAACTTTGTCGATACTAGGATGATTTCTCTGATTTATAGTTTTTATTTTTACTTCTTTTTTTTTTTTTTTTTTTACCAGGACATTTTCTACCACACTGATGTTTCACAAACCGGAAAACTGTCGCTAAGTGAACTGAGGAATGCAATCAAGGCTTCAGGTAGCCAGCAAAACATTTTCCACAAGCATCAACAGTATTTTTAACAAGCATTAGTCATACACTTTAATAACCCAGAGCAGAAATAAAACCTTCAGGTCTCAATTTAACACACCAAAACAGGACATTTCAACTGAAGGCTCACCCCGAAAAACACAATCAATGAATTAAACTTAAAAGGATGAACATACCAATATTCCACTAGGTCGCGCCAAAGTCATGCTTTTACTTTGGCCGACGCATCAACACACCGACGATGCTCGAATTTCAGCAAATCATGGAGGAGAGGTTTCCAAAAGGAAAATCTGCAAATGCGCAAATGCCCAACCAGGAAAACGTGGGGGTTCACTGGAATTGTGCTATGCTAAGAATTAAACTCTTCTGTTTGCGCAGATATTGGCCTGATGGAAAATCATGATTTTTTAAAAATAATCTTTCTGATTTTTATTGCACGCCAACAGTATTTGATGACCATCTACATTTGAAAAACATTGTCTATAATGACAATTTTTTTCAGGTAGTTAAAATAAGATTAATTCATTAATTAGTTTTTTTTTATCCTTTTGATTAACATTTTAAAAGAGTATTCAACAGTGACATACAGTACAATACAATACATGCTGATTTATATAGCGCTTTCACAACAGCGGCAGCTGTAACAAAGCGCTCAACAAAACAGTTAACATAAAGTAAAATAATGAACACATTACATAAAACACGAACAGTCTTGCAGTCCTAACATACTCTCAGATATTCAGTTGAAATTACAGGTATCTTCAATGGATGAAAATGCGCTGTGGTTTTTGCTTTTTACAATTTATCATCCACAAACAATTATATAGCGTAGCCCTTTTTTATCCCCTAATTATGTGTGTGTGTGTGTGTGTGTGTGTGTGTGTGTGTGTGTGTGTGTGTGTGAGTGAGATTTTCTTTTATTTATTGTTATTTAAGGGAGGAATTCAGCTAACACTCTGATGTCATCCAAAACTAGCATAATTAGGATTAGTAGACATTTACAGAATGTTACAACTGCTTGCAAATATTTGCTTTGTTTACCTCCTTACTGAGAAGAGTGTGCTGTTTGTTCAGGGATGAAAGTGGGCGATGACATGCTAAATTTGATGGCCCTGCGTTATGGTGCTTCGTCTGGACATATGACTCTGGAGAGCTTCATCAGTCTGATCCTTCGCTTGGAATGCATGAACAGTGTGTGAAGTAGAGACACAAGGAGAGCAAATTAAAGTCAAAAGTTACATTTCCGCTGACACGTTTGCATCTTTTAACAGAAATCTTCCAAAAATTGTCTGATGGAAGCACAGTGTGTCTTCAAAAGTCAGAGGTAAAACACTTCAAATGTTGGAAAATATTCAAAAAATGTATCACCTGTGAATGGTTTGAGTAACACCACTTTCTCTCGCTGTCCCTCTGCAGTGGTTGTACATTTCCATGTACACTTAAAGCAAGACAAAAAACCCCTCCAGATATCAATTCTAATTTGATTTAAATAAATCCCTCCATCCATTATCTGAACTGCTTATCCTCACAAGGGTCACAGGTGCGCTGGAGCCTATCCCAGCTGTCTTCGGGCTGTAGGCGGGGTACACCCTGAACCGGTTGCCAGACAATCGCAGGGCACACAGAGACGAACAACCATTCACGCTCACAATCACACCCAGGGACAACATTGAATGTTCCATGAGCCAACCATGCATGTTTTTGGAATGTGAGAGGAGAGAGCAGTACCCGGAGAAAACCCACGCAAGCCCGAGGAGAACATGCAAACTCCACAAAGGAAGGCCAGAGCCGGGATCAAACACACGACCTCTGCACTGTGTGGTCCATGCGCTAACTACTGGACCACTGGGCGGCCCAAAATAAATCCCTCCCTCAAAAAAAAAAGAAAAAAAAAAAAAAGAAAAAATGCTGAACACACCTCTGTCAAATAAAAGGGAATTATGGTGAAAAGATTAGGTCAGAGACAATTTGATTCAGACTGCAGGGTATTTACGTGCAGTGGATGAATTATTATAATTATTATTATTTTTTTTTTTTCGAAGCAAAGAAAAGTCTGGTTGTCTTATCTGTCAAGAGGTGGTGACTGTATTCCAGGAATACAATCTGCGCCGACACTATGAATCCCACCACAAAGACAAGTATGATAGCCTGCAAGGCCAAATGCGAGCATACAAACTCTCAAAGCTTAAAAGTGGACTGTTAGCTCAGCGCAATACATTTGTACACGAAGCTCAGTTGAACCAGTCCTCCGTTCGAGCGAGCTTTCAGGTTGCTCAACTGACAGCAAGCAGCGGTGAAGCTTTCACTAACGGAGAATTTGTCAAGGAACGTTTGAAAATCGGTACTCTGAGCTGCTGTTTGCTGCATAGGCACAAACAACATTCAGGTAAGGTGGGGGGAAGCAATCCTCTTGTCCACCAGTGTCAACCCCAATGTACATGCAACTCCCTCATTCTGCTGTGGGACTTCGATGCTCACATGACAGTGAGACCTGGAAAGGTGTGATTGAGAGCCCACCCCGATCAACTCAACTCAACTGTATTTATAGAGCACTTTCAAACAGCCATCACTGCACACAAAGTGCTGTACATGGAGCAACTAACATATACAACAGTAAAGCAACAAATCAGTAACAAAGATGGTAGAAAGCACCGAAGAGCAAAACCAAGAACAAATCTGGGTCATTCTGAGTCAAATGCCAAAGAATACAAGTGAGTTTTGAGGCAGGTTTTAAAGATGGGCAGCGAGAAGTTTTCCCGAATGTTCAGTGGGAGGTCATTCCAGAGAGAGGGACCAGCAACGGAAAAGGCTCGATCCCCTCTGACCCTCAGTTTAGTTCTTGGTACTTCTAATAATGTCTGGTCCGCAGACCTGAGGCGCCGGGCAGGTGTGTTGGGGCGGATGAGCTCAGAGAGGTAAGGTGGCGTGAGGTCATTTAGAGATTTGAAAACAAATAAGAGGATCTTGAAAATAACTCTAAAATGTACAGGGAGCCAGTGAAGGGATGCCAGAGTAGGAGTTATGTGCTCCCTCTTACGAGTACAATCAGAAATCGATTGTTGCCAGATAGGTAGCAGTGTTGCTATAAAAATACTGTTGAGATGAAAAAGGTTGTGTGGTTAGTAGCCTGTGAAAAAAAATTGTGTTTGGCAACACTCTGGCCTTTTTATTTTGCCTCCACATACACCACATACTTAACCCGGTTAGGGACGATTAAAGAGACGGATGAAAACACACTTCCATCCTTACTTAGTCCGCCCGTCCCTTTTAAAAGACTTCTTGTCCTCTGACCTCCGTCCAAAAAATGGGTGTCTTTCCGTGCAGGACGGACGGACTGTTCAGTCCCACGGACGGAATACCCATCTCTGCAAAGAATGATGCAAACAAAAAGAGACAAACTCAAAACACACACAAAACACCTGCAACACCCCCAACCCCACCGCAAACAGTGCACACACAGGAATGTTGCAAATATAAACACATAAATGCAGACAAACAAAAACAACTGCAAAAAAGAATTAAACGCCGTGGAAATCCAAAACACATCAACTCAAAAACAAAAAAAAAGTTGCAAGTTTACGCCGCTCGGGAGGGCCGCAGGACCGGTCCTGTGAGCTTCCATTTACCACCATCCTTTATTTCTCGTGTAATTATCGTGTAAAACTTCCTGTATGTCTTGTGTTAATTAGATATCATAGAAGCTTTTAGAAACAAACAGTATGCTACATTCTTGCTTTCAAGAGTTGGAGCAAATGACAAAGGAGGTCGTAAATCACAGTGAGGGAAGAATTCCTCTCCGTTTTGTTTGTTTTTCATGGAGCTTAACAGATCATCAGCAAGTTCTGAGGAAGCCTGATATTGAATCTGTTCATTTAAATCAGGCGTGTTGCAACAGGGAGAGATGGAAAACATGAAGTATAGCGGCCATCCATGACTGGAATTGCCCACCCCTGAACTAAGACCTCAAATTTTATTAAGTTCTAGTTTTGATATAGCAGTATATACGGTGGTACCATTACATTTGAGGTTGCTCGCCCACGGGTAAGTACCAAATCTATAGTGTTTCCATTTTTTTATTGGTGGCTTCGTCTATTATCTGCGTGATACCAAAAAGAATAAGTGGGTCTGTCGGGCGAGTCAAATTAATATTAAAGTCACCCATGATAAGTATATTATCTCCGTGAGTCACCAAGTCAGCAACAAATTCAGAAAATTCATCAAGAAAGCCAGTGTAAGGGCCAGGAGGATGACAAATAACTAAATGATAAAATGGTAATGAATCTGTGGATCGCATAACAAGAGCTTCAAAAGTTTTAAAGGCGCTGTTTGAGCGAGGTCTGAATTTGAGAGCAGATTCGGAAATAATTGCAGTACCCCCAGCCTTCTTACGAAGACATGCTACATGTGAACTCACAAAATATGGAGGTGATGCCTCTTTTAGCGGTAAAAACTCATTGGGTTTGAAACAGATCTCGCAAATACCGATCATGTTAAGGCTATGGTCTTTAATGAGGTCATTAACTAACATAAGACTGAGTTTCAATAGAGTTAGCTGTCGAGTTATGCTTTCTTTTGCATTTTAAGATTTTAATCAGCATCAAAACACATAAAATAGGTCGTTTTAAAGTCAAATTAAGCAAAGAGTAAGAAAATATATTACAAATAGAACTATTTCATTAATTGTGTTGCTGTTATCAGCGGATGGGGCGGAGGGCAGTTGCCTACAGGTGACCGGTTCCTCGATTTTTACTTGATTCGCTAGGTTAAAGGCCCTGGCTGTGGGCTTGCATCCCGTGGCTGTTGGTGAGTGATGCCAATAATGGGGTTTCCATTCAAATGTTTCGATTTTTAAGGTAACTAAGCGAAAAGGCGCAAAAACAAACACGAGACTTATTCCTGTTTCCATGTATTATTGTTTTGTAAATATAAAGAGGAGAGGAGAAAATGCTGGGAGATTACGTCATCTCCGTTACAGGTGATATTGCAGTACCACCTTGTGGAGGTTGAGTGTCACTGCACTTTGTCATGTTGCTGTTCCCTCCGTTCTAACGCCTGTCGCTGGCAGTAGCCTGACAACACGGAAGGTATCCTCGTGTCCGGGTATTATTGATTACACCATACTTCTAGCAAACTCTCTCTCTTGACTGGCTGCCAGCCTTATTCTTATTTTATTTATTATTATTATTATTATTATTATTATTATTATTTTGCAATTGACCACGATTTCGTGATATTGTTGATATTGGCGGTGATACAAACCGGCTCCAATAACGAGTGTTGATCACCGACACGCCATCATGCGCTGCCGGGGACAACTTCCAATGAAAAGAAGCTAGCTAAGGCACTGATGTCCATGCATTCTACAGTATGTAAACGCACATTAAAAAAAAGTGTTCCCTTGCAAAAAACACACAAGCAAACAAATAAACAAAAACAACAACTTTGCGATGGAACGCATAACTTTACAAGGGAATGCAAAGTTGCTTTATTTTTCTTCCATGTCACCTGAGGGGCTCTGTAAACAGTTGGATGTTGGGGCATGGGCCAGGAATTGATCTACAGCGCAGAATTTGACCACTTACATACCAGTAAATACTTTATAACCATAAAAGAAGAGGTGAAATTAATTTCAGAATGAATGTGAATGTCAAACCAATAACTATGTTATGACATTTTGTTAGTAGAATATACAATAAGGTTAAAAGTAGTGGTGGTTTTTGTGTGTCATTCAAATAAGCTACTAAAGCTAATTTATTTTGTACATGTTGGTGTGGCTCTGTGTGTTTAGAGCAAACTATTGCGAAACCTTGAACAAGCCGGGGCAGGTCGAATATTTTATCATGCAACAACACCCTACCAAAATGAAAGCGGATTGTGTTTTGTTTATTTTTTTAATGGTGTCATAGGCGGTGCTTCAGAGATTATTAACATATTCATTGCTGTGGAGCCTCAGGGATATGCTGGTATTACATAACACAACAAAACTAGCCTTCTCATGCATTCTGATCCACCGGCACACAACACAACACAACACAACACAACACAACACAACACAACACAACTCTACACACAACCTCTCTTCCCTGGTAAGTTATTCAGAGATTTTACTATGTGATATTTTAGCTACATCTGAACTTTAATTTTAAAAAAAGTCATTGAAGCAAATGCGCAAAATGTTTTTTATTAAGGTGGGCTTTCAGTCTCGGTTTTTAATTCAGATGTTGACTAGCACTGTGTTGTGATTGCAGATACTGAATGTCATGCAAATATGTATGTGAAAATTTACATCTGAAACAAATATATGCATGCAATCTACATGTGAGCTTGATCGGCAAGAGCGCCCATGCCGCTTCGCAAATGAAACCACCTTATACTTGGATTTTTTTTTTTTTTTGTTTCAGAACAACAAAATGGTTAGCAGCAAGGTGTGTTGTCATTGGTGACATATATGCATCCAAATGTCAAATTTGAGATCAGCCATTGTTTTATTAACCTGACATAACCCTAACGCTTAATATTCTTGGAGTGGTAAAACCGGCTCAATCACTTTGTTAACTTGGTTCATCTTGTTATATCAATGACAGCTTGATGTGCTTTCTTCAACGGTGTAAATGACAAGCACAGTCGTGTCCAAAATTTCTGACAGTGATTCAGAATCCAAGTTTCACCAACCTTGATGGTTAAAATGTTAAAATATTTCTTTTTTTGTAAATGGTATTTTTGAGTTAAGTTCAGTTCTGAGGAAGTGTCGTTGTAAATATTTTGACTTGACACACATTATAAATAAAAACACGCTGAAATTATTGTTTTACAGAATATAATGGGAACTTGAACATAAAATGTAGCTACAAACGCAGAGGCAGCAAAGTTAGTGAAACAAAAAATTGGAATCACCAAAAATGTTGGCCTTAAGTCGACAACATAACCAGGCAAAACCCGGGTTGCTAATGATGTGAATCACTCAAGGGCTGCTCCAATGTGATCTGTTTGGGAAGGTCGGGAAATTCATTATAATATTTCGAGCTGATTGGGCAATGCGGCAAACTTTAATTTTGACCAATCATCGCACCGGGTGAAGATGTTGTCATTGACATGCGCCTTGTTTTGACTCGCTGAGCACTGTTATCTCGATAATTGCCACGACGGCACTATGGCATTGACTTGTTTTTGCATAAAATACAATACAGTATGCAGAAAACGAATTAATTAATTTTGATGTTCATAAGATAAGATAAGATAACCTTTATTTGCCCCACACTGGGGAAATTTGCAGTCTACAGCAGCAAAATTGGGGGGGGGGGCAGTGTTTCTTTGTGATTGGTCTGCACAACCAGTGGGGTGGCTCAGCATGTGACGGATTTTGCAGCCTGTTAACTATCGTAGCCCACATGTACCGTTTTAAAGTGCTTCCCTCGGCTCTCTAGATTCCCATTTTTTGCCTGTCCCCTCGGCGAATTGTGCACGAAACAAACTCTGAATGAGAATAATGATAACGATAAAAGACATAGCGCAACAACTCTGATCACAAGCTGCAATTGCAGACTGCTGAGCGCTAACTACTTCCGGTGACGTAGGTCACGCGCCACCGTAGGTTAAAGATTTACCTGCTTTATTTTATTTTTTAAATACTTTTTGTGAAAATGAGACTGATAGGATGATTAGGGTGCAGTATACATGAACACAAAAAAATATACATGTATTACTAACATGCACAAAAACACACAAATGGTTGTTTATTTTTTTTCTCCTCGACACTCCTCCCAATCGACTTGGGACCAGTCCGCGATCTACCGGTTGATCGCGATCGACGTAATGGGCACCCCTGATTTAGAGTGTTCCATTAGCCTGTTTTTGGAATTTGGGAGGAATCCGGACTACCCGCAGAAAACACACACATGCGGAGAACATGCAAACGCCATACAGGGAGACGGAGTCAGAATCGAACCCTGCATCTCTGCACTGAGAGGCAGACGTGCTAACCAGTTGACCACCTTGCCATCCTTCTCAAATAGCGCAAGAATTAAGTCAGTTTACAGAGAATGTTATCTACATCAGAAGAGCTTATAGATTTTTTTTTTGCTCTATTGTTACTCAAGACACCAATTTAATTAAAATAATTGGGAAGAAATGTTGTCATACATAACAACACTTGTTTATATGGAATCAAAGAAACTTTTCCAACTGCGTAATCGTTATAATTTATAATACGAGAAGAATGTTGGGCGGCCCAGTGGTCCAGTGGTTAGCGCGTTGACGTCACATTGCAGAGGTCTTTGTTTCGATCCCGGCCTTCCTGTGTGGAGTTTGCATGCTCTCCTCGGGCCTGCGTGGGTTTTCTCCGGGTACTCCGGAGAAAACCAACACACATGACAGGCTAATTGATCACTCAAAAATTGTCCCTATAGGTGCGAGTGTGAGCGTGCATGGTCGTTTGTCTCTGTGTGCTCTGCGATTGGCTGGAAATTGGTTCAGGGTGTCCCACCCAGGGTGTCCCACCCACCCCACCCCCACAACTGCCCGAAGACGGCTGGGATAGGCTCCAGCACGCGACCCTTGTGAGGATAAAGCGGATTGGAAAATGGATGGATAGAATAATGTCCTTTGCCACTCTTATTTTTAAGTCCGTGGGAACCTGACAGTTTGACCGCAAGCCGCTTCCTCATGCTGGTCAACCTGTGGTTTTGTTTGGCTTTTGTTTGTGAAAATGGTTGTTTGTCTGTGTGTGCTGTGATTGACTGACGTTTAACCAGTCAATTGGAATAGGATAAATATTGATTGATTGATGGTTGGATGAAGTTGAACTCTGACTTCCAAACTAAGCAATTTCTTGGTGTTCATATTCCATTCATAAGTCACCTTCAGTATAAATAAATACATAGATAAATAAATGAATAAAGAACTGAAGCAGGGACTGACTGACTGCAAGCAGTATTTCCTCAACTAATGTCCACCAAACTGTAACTATCCAAACTGTCACCTTCATCTAACAGTAAGAACGGCAAAGACGGCAAGTTTGGTGTAATCACTTCGAATTCCTCTTCTTTAACAGAGCTAAGTCACTCGCAAAATGCCTCCTCCAGGCGTGTGTATGAGCATCATAAATGCACGTCACAAAGGAGATGGTTATGGGACCGTCGACAATCCCGAGGTGTTCTTCAAACAAGAGTACAAAAGACTGAAAGAGTTTTGCATCGACCGGCAAGTTCGCTACATCGATGAAATGTTCCCGCCCGACAGACGATCCATTGGCAATGGCATACTGAAACCTGATGACCTGAAACAAGTGCAATGGCATAGACCAGGGGTAAGCTTTTTTTATTGACAAACACTTGGTGGACCCTCAAAACTTGAACACAATTTATTGCAGTTCGTTGCGGGTGTACAGGTAAAAAGTAACATTTTTGGCACTAATAGCATGCGATTGAACAAAGTAGTTATCCAATTAATTGCTGTGAATAATGAAATAAATAACAAGTGCTGTAATATTTTCAGGGTGAATTTCGGTCAAATTCTGAGTTGCTTAACACCAAAATTAAATTGAGATTGTCCATCTTTATCCATTTGGTTTTACCTGAAGGAAGTTTTTGTTTTTAACTGTTTGAACGGCTTTGAATGTGTCCTTCAACTTTGGGCTGTACTTTTGTAATTGTCTTAAAACATAAAATCAAAGAGTCAATAGGACAGCTGTTGAAATCCATAGTCAGAACAGTTTTTTACATTTATTTATGGTCCAAAATTGGGTTGTGTACACAATCCCTCAAACATGTCTGTTTCAGAAATTGGTTCCCAATCCATCTTTTGTCGTCGATGGCATCTCAAGGTTTGACTTTGGTCAAGGCATGGTTGGTAAGAGCATGACTTCATTCAATGCAGTTTCCAAATAACTTTGAGGAACTTGGTATACCTACATAACCGATTCACTTATCATGTGTTCTCTCAGGAAACTGCTGGTTTCTCGCATCTTTGGGTGCACTGACATTCCAGAAAGTTGTTTTTCAGCATGTTGTGCCTCTTGAACAAAACTTTGTGAAGGACTACTGTGGACTGTTTCATTTTCGGGTAAATACACAGAGAAATGACATTTCCATTCAGATGATCAAAAACATGTTTTTATTCCTATTCTATTCAGTTTTTGAAAAAAAATCTAAACAGAATACAGAAGTCCCTCGGTTTACAACATAATTCTGTTCCTCTGATGGTGATGCAACACAAATTTGTTTGTACCTAGTCTTGCTCACTGATGCTAATACAGAAGTAAAGTCATAATTAGAATATGAATATTTACTGTAATTATGCCTTTGGTATAATCGTGATCAATAGTACTACTGTGATAGCCATAAAAACAATCAGATGAAAAAAAAAATGAATAGCAGTTATTGAGTATAACTTCTTGAACCACATGACGTCCTTATGTCGCTGTGCAAGCTAGCTCATTGTGTGCCCTTTGTAACCTTAAAAAAAAAATCATAGGTCCATTGCGACTCAGACCCCTGTAATGGAAAATAAAATAAATTGTGATTTAAACATACAATTGCTGCACACTCAACAGAAGAAGTATTGCATTGGTGACTTAATCTCTCACATTTCAGTTCTGGAGATTTGGCAGATGGGTAGATGTTGTCATCGATGACAAGCTCCCAACAATCAATGGCAACCTGCTTTTTGTGAGGTCCAAAGACCCAACAGAATTTTGGCCTGCTTTGTTGGAGAAAGCTTATGCTAAGTATGGACATATGTGTCTAAATCACTTCAATAAAATCTGTTCAGTTTTGTAGTCTTTGCAAGTAATTCCAATGTACTTGTGTCAGAGTGTGTGGTTCCTATTCAGACATGAGTTCTGGAACACCCGATGAGGCGTTGGTGGACTTCACAGGTGGTGTTCACATTTGTATCAAGCTGTCAGATCCTCCGCAAGACCTTTGGGAGCTTATATGCAGAGCCGGACAATCCAAATCACTGATGGGATGTGGCACTCCTCAAGGGGTAAGCACAAATCTACCATACAAGAAATCCATCCATCCGTTATCTGAACTGGCTATGCTCACGAGGGTTGCCACGTGTTGGAGCCTATCCCAGCTGTCTTTGGGCACTAGGTACCCTGAAATGGTTGCCAGCCAATTGCAGGGCACACATAGACGAACAATCATTTACACTCATCATCACATCGAGGGACAAACTAGAGGGTTCAATGAACCGACCATACATATTTTTGGAATGTGGGAGGAAACTGCTGTACTCAGAGAAAACCTACACAGGCACGGGGAGAACATACAAACTCCACACAGGAAGGCCGGAGCCCAGATCCAAACTGTAGACCTCTGTACTGTGAGGCGGATGTACTAACCATTCTGCCGCCAAGACAATTCCAGAATTTGGTATCGTTGTGTTAAAGCACTTCAAGCCCTGCCTGAGCCGGTAGCTTCTCGTGTTGGAGGGGTTTGGGTGTCCCAATGAACCTTAGAGCTAAGTTGTCTGGGGCTTTATGTCTCTGGCAGGGTCACCCATGGCAAACAGATCTTAAGTGAAGGATCAGACAAAGCACGGATCAAAAGACCCATATGATGTATACAAATATTAGAATAAAATTTCCCCTGCCGGGATGTAGGCCACCCCCTCTGTAATCAGATCTGGAAGTGGGGCTCAGTGGCGAGTACCTGGTGGCCGGGCCTACACCCATGGGATACTGCCGGACTTAGCCTGAAAGAACAATGGTGGTCCCCCTTCTCATGAGCTCACCACCTGTGAAAGAGGCCAAAAGGGTTAGGTGCAATGTGAGCTTGGCGGTGGGCAATGGCCTTAGCTTTAGAAGTTGGCTCGAGGGACATTAAATGTCACCTCCTTGCCAGACAAAGAGCCCGAAATGGTGTGCGAGGTCAAGATGTTCAGAATAGACGTAGTCGGGCTTGCCTCGATACATAGCTTCAGCTCTGATACCAGTCCTGAGTGTGGTTGGACCCTTTCCCACTGTGAAGATGCCGATGATCAGAGACACCGAGCAGGTGTGGGCATACTTATGGCTCATTGCCTATACATTTATTAGTCTCCCTCCACCTGTTGTTTGTCCTTATGCACTAAACAACAGGTGAGAGTACCCACACTTTTTGGAGTCCCTGGAATGATTGCTGGAGAGCGCTCCTGCTGGGGAGGAGGCAGGCGATGGGTAACGCCTAGCTGAGCGTTAAACAGCTTTGGTGGGCATCAAGGCAAATACTCGGGCGAGGGAGAAGTTTGGTGAGGCCATGGAAAATGACTTACATTTGGCTTCGAGGACATTCTGGTCCTACCTCACAAGGGGTATGCAGTACCCCATTAACACTGTGTAGAGTGGACATGGGATCAGCAGTGACCTCGACTCTGGACATTTTGAGTAGGTGGAAAGAATACTTCTAAGACTCCTTAATTCCACCAACACGCCTTCCCATGAAGAAGCAGCGTCTGGGACTCTGAGATGGGGTCCTTTCTCTGGGCTTGAAGTCACAGAGCTGGATAAATAGCTCTGCGGTGATACGGTCTTTGTGGTGGATAAGATCTTCCCAGAGTTCTAAAAGGCTCTGCGTGTTGCGAGGCAGCTACACCATCGCATGAACATCTGGGACAGTGCCTCTAGATTGGCAGACCAAGTTGGTGGTCTGCCTTTTTACCACTGGGTCTGTTCCAACTACAGGATATCACACTCCTCAATCTCCTTGGAAGTTCTACTCAGGGGTGCTGTAGTGCAAGCTCCGTTGGGAAATCGAATCTGGCTGCCGATTCTGTAAGTTTATGGTTCTGTATTATGTTACAGGGTTGGGCGTGGCCTTGTGTCTTTCAGTATTTAAGCTCTGGTTGCTTGGAGACACGTCACCAGAACATCTTGTTTCCTCCTATGCCCTTTGTCAGGCGCTTTACAACTGCTGTGTCCAACCCTGGTATTTGTTGTTCCTTTGTTCATGTAGTTCACTGCGTGTGGGCTTATTTTGGTTTGTATTTTTGTATATAAAGACTTTTACTTTGCGATGGGTAATATATGGATTATTCTCTGTCCTAAATTCAGGGAGATTGAAGAAAACCAAATCTTTTAGCCTAGATTCTTTAATACCAGGGCATTTACGGATCATAAATGTCAGTTTAATTCACGCTATGAGAATAAGCTTGCATATAAAAGAAAATCTTTGGGTAAGATTAACTTATTGTTATAAGAGCCCATGAAGGCAAAGTCTGTCACGCCACATCTTGTCAAATATGAGGAAGTACATGGCGAATTAAAATGCCATTTTGCTAATCTGTCATGGTGTATTATGTGATTACTTAAAACATGCTTGCTCTGACTTGTAGGAGACACCGGCCAACACTGTTCTGCCAAATGGATTGGTCCAAGGTCACGCATACACAGTCACAGGGGTCAGAGAGGTAAACTCTTGTGACTTGTGTTTTGAGCATTAAAGTTGGAACAGAAAGTATAGAACCTGACCATTTGTGGTTAAGTTTGGTCTGAAAGTGTTTCATTTAGGGTTAGAAATGTCTGAGTGCGCAATTAACATGGTGTTCTCTGTTGACTTTACGGAACAGATAATGAGCCGGGGCCAAGCAGTATGTCTGGTGCGTTTGTTAAACCCCTGGGGCAGGGGGGAGTGGAATGGAGACTGGAGTGATCGGTAAGTCCCATCAGGACAAAGCAATCACTGTCATTCGTGATTTGACTTTGAAATTATTTTCTGATAAGAGAAAATAAAATCACAATTTTTTTTGAGGCCATACAAAAGAGCCTAAATACGGACTGAAGTCTTAATTATGCTTGAAAATATGCCATTAGGTGCCCGTTCATTTTTTTGTATTAACCTCATATACTAATGCATGAAGGCCAAAATTATAAATTCGAGCCAAATTCAGAGTCGATGTACAGTGTATTAGATTTGTTTTTTTTGAATGGTTTTTGGAAATGTAAACAATTAAAGACACCAATTAATCAATGAACATGTTTTATTTTAAGGTTAAGTAACGTTAAGTGTTAGACTATAGGTAAATATTGAGTCAGATGCGCCGCTAAAATCGTCATGATTGAATGCTTTTGAAAAGGCAAATTCAGCGAGGAATTGCGACTGCTATCGTTCCTCCCAGACACAAAATAAAATCCCCAGAAAAGGAACATGATCAAGTAATGCTGGACTTCTCAAATTTAGTTACACGATAAATTTTATATGCTGAAAGGAAAAGAACTGTGTACGAGTGCTTTACTTCACATTTAAGGAGACTGTACCACTGCAATAACACAACGAAAGATGCCAAAAGAGTATTGGTATTTGGTATATTTCATATTATATACGAAATGACAAAATATAGTATACAACATAGAGCGCAGATCTTTATAGGTTGCACTCATCACATGATAATATCTCTGGTATTTTGTAGATGTGTGCTGTATTTTACTTGGTGAAGTGTGAGGAGTTATAAATGATGCCTCTCCTCCAAATTACCAGGTCACCTTTGTGGGAAACTGTGAGCCCACAAGATCGAGCTCTGTGTCTTTCTGTGGTTGACAATGGGGAGTTTTGGTAAGCGCCTTAAGATTCAAGTGGTAACACTCATCAGTGATTCTAACCAAACAATCATTCGCACAGGATGAGCCTGGGCGAATTTTGTAGATTTTATAGTGATCTTGACATCTGCTGTATGTGTCCCGACTTCCTCGATGGAAACTCGTCCTGCCATTGGAAGACGTCCTACTATGAGGGGAGATGGCTTGCTGGGAAAACAGCTGGAGGATGCTTGAATAATCGTGGTACTTTTGGAATATCTGGACTGAATTCAGTGCATAGCTACCAACTGACCTACAACTACCTACCTATACACAAACTTGATTCCAAACTCCATCATCAACATAAAAGAACAAGACAATACATACAAAAGATTTAAAATTTAAAACATATGCACATATTCACCAAACAACTAAATAATCATTGACCTGAGAGGAGACTACTAAACCAATGCTTCCACAGGAAGATAGCATGTAGTCCTCAATTTGATGCTTGTCAATGTCATGATGGTACAATTCTCAGAGTTCTTCAGCCAACACCTGCAGCCACGAACATCTCGCTGGAAATACACCAAAGAGTGGAGTGCAGTGTGCTCTGAATCAAGCCACCTTCACTCCATCCGAATATGCGGCAAACTTGCAAAGCAAACTATTTGCTTGAGCATACATGGAGCGACATTGCCTGGACATGACTTGGTCATCCTTCAGCTGGTCTGTGATGAGATAGCCAAGATATTTAACTTTGCTTATACGTCTCAAGTGATATCACCTGCCAATTTGAATGAAGGAAACATTCGACCACATCGTCATCTAGATTGAATTTCATATCATAGTCAACATCATATTCAGAGCAACATTAGGAAGCTGGGGGAGACCAACACTGGGGGGGACTGAAGACCAAGAGGTCATTCGCATACATAATATGATTCACTGAAGGATTGCCAATCATCCACTCAGTATTACAGGCGGTCAGGCTGATAGAAAGGTCAGGACTGTGCCATGCTTTGCTTTGAAGCCAAATTGGTTGTCAATCGAGGAAATCATCTCCACAGTTCACAGAATTCTGGCAAGGGCTATTTTTTGTCTATAGCAAGGGTAGGGAACTTCAATTCCTTGAGAGCCATATCATGCCTGTTTTAGATCTAACCCTACTTCAACACACTTGATTCAAATGATCAGCCCATCAGCAAGCTCTGTATAAGCCTGAAACGATCATGATCAATTGAATCAGGTGTGTTGGAGTAAGGAGGGATCTAAAACAGGCGTGATATGGCTCTCATGGAATCGGAGTTCCCTACCCCTGGTCTATAGCCATTGGGAACAGCCAACTTTATCTGATTTATCCTGTATCACGGGAAATAAAAAGACAGATATTGTACCCGGCAAGAAATCATGAATTAAGAAGGCATTGAAGCAAATGACAACAAGGGGGCTCATCTCATTCTGTCATATTTCATGTGTTCAGTAGTGATGTGATCCAAATCCCTTGTTTTGTGAACTGAAAGTTTAATCATAGTGTGGGTCACCTCATATGAAAAAAAATGCCTTCAAATCAACACACTCAACCTAATCAGGCGAATAAATATCGCTTTTAACAGTTAAATTAGGTGCTGTAGTGCCGTTGCCACAGCTCAGAAATAATGTCAACCCCTGAGATACCAGATACAGTGCAACATGGGCATAATTCTACAACTGTTAAGACCCTTCACCACCTTCCAAAAATCGGCCAAGTAGTCAGAGCTCATAGCTTGTTGCTTTATTACATATCAGTCAGACAGCATATGTATAAAATGCCTAAGGATGTTTCTTATGTTCAAACATAGGCCCTTGCCTCAGACTACCAGGTAACACTCATCGTCATCCATCCATCCATCCATTTTCCGATCCACTTTATACTCACAAGGGTCGCGGCGGGTGCTGGAGCCTATCCCAGCTGTCTTCGGACAGTAGGCGGGGGACACCCTGAACCGGTTGCCAGCCAATCACAGGGCACACACAAACGGAACACCATCAACGCTCACACTCACACTCACACCTAGGGACAAGTTAGGGTGTTTAATCAGCCTGCCATTCATGTTTTTGGAACGTGGGACAAAACCGGAGTACCCGGAGAGAACCCACGCAGGCCTGGGGAGAACATGCAAACTCCAACACTCATCTTTTAAAAGATAATTTTGCTCCCTCGCCATATTCTTATTCCAGGGTCAATTGCTTTCATACGAAACTCACAAAATGACTCTGTAGACAGAAAATGTCTTCCCCCTGCTTCCAGTCATTACAATTTACATCACTACACTAGTGGCGGATGCTGGTCTGTCAAGGAGGGGAAGCTCAATTTCGGCTTACATCATAAAATGTGTCCGTTTATTTATACATGAATTCTACTCTCCATTCCTTTTCAAGAAAATGATCTGTTACCCTGTCATACCAACAAGGCGTCTTTTCCAGGGTCTTAACTGGGGTGATATAAGTCAGTCTGCGAACACAAGCAACTACAATAAAACCCACCAAAAATAAAAGATTAATTTGTCGCTAGTCGTTTTCAACAAAGAGAGTGTCGCTAAGATGACGAGAAGAAGTCTCCCGTTCAACTCAGAACAGAATGAGAATTGAAAAATGCTCCCACGGATGCCTACCCCAAAAGATCGATGATTGGCTCATTTCGCTGTCAATCAAAAGAGATTCAGACTCAGACAGATCATCCAATCATCATGCAGAAAAGCTCAGTGTCCGGGCCAGCCCATAAACGCCCACTGTCCATAGACTCCAGAGACGCTGAGCGTCCGATGGACGCGACAAAATCAGCATTTATCCAATGACTCGTCTCGTTTCAATGCATTGGGACTACCCTCAAGACACCCAGCATCCGCGCCGGAGACGCTCAGCGTTCACACAGTTTAAAGCACAGTGAAGCTGCGGGAATGAATGAGAACAGAGTCGCGTCGTAACCAGTAATAAGAAGCTGATTCTGAACAAAAGTTGAGCGCGTTGTAGCACATATTTAGTCAATGACATGTACACACAATTGTATGTACACACATATGTTTGATCACTTATATTTTGACATTTTAGGGGAAGTTGAGCTTCCCTTGCAGTCTGAGAGCAATCTCCTCTGCACTACACCGTATTGCATCACAGAGAACAATATTACTCAATGCGCTATTTGTATCAGCACCGTAGGTAGCAATATCCTCCTCTTGTCTAAGTTATTTTTGTTGCAGAACAGTTTCACGATGAAATGTCGACTATTTTGGGAAACTTTTCATAATTTTTCAATAAATAGGAATCGTACTAACAAAAGACACATTGGTATGGGTGTCGATGCAGTGCAGCTCTCGAGTGTAATTAAAGCGAAACAGCAACAAAGCAGCGCTAAATGCACGAGTGTGACTTCGAAATGCGCCCCCCCAAAAAAAACTGGCTATTGGAAAAATTGACAAATTGTTTGTTTACATTACAGAGCAGAACTTCTGGACTAATCCACAGTATCGAGTCCGTGTTGGCCAACTTCACAGTGAATGTGCTTCCAAACGTGGGGAAAAAAACATGCTGGTGTCGCTCATGCAAAAGCCGGACAAAAGAAACAGAGCCCTGGTCAAGAATCTTCATATTGGATTCTCAGTCTTTGAGGTCAATACAGTAGTAGCATGTTTAATACTAATGCTGCCATTATTCAAATATGGGAACCATACTGAAATAATGCTGCTGAGCCAAAAAGTCAAATGAACAAAACAGTTCCGAATACATAATTCAACAAATAAAATAGCTCAGCTTACTTGACTTATTGGTAAAAAGAATAGAAGAAATGTACACCGCATGATTAGCTGGGTTTATGTGATTGAAATTGTGACAGGATTATTTATAAGAGCAATTTAGTTTTAGGTTGGAGGTTCCACTGTATTTGTATTTACTGAGATTTGGACTATATATATATAT